GAGATCCCTGTACCGGGACGATAGCTTTTATTGTACGTGATTGCACGGTCCTGTCTAATCGTATTCTTATGCCTTTCGAGTAGAGCTGGATACGATTTTTTTGGCGAGCATTCGCCGCCCATGCTGACGATGATAAGTACATGACTGTATATAACACACTACGATAACTGTGCATGACCTTCTGATGTACATGTACATGTACATGTACAGTAGTTATTTAGTACGTCCAGCACCTGTATACTGGGAGTAGGGGTAGCCACACCTCTGACACGCTCCAGATTTGTATAACCGGTGATGCAATTGTTGGCGAGACATTGCCTTTACAAGTACTAATGTATTCCCGACAAATGTGTCGATGAATACTGATCAGCATCTGAGCTGAGTTGTATCAGCACATGGCACCAGCCGACCAAAGACACAACTTACTGAAGTGCACTTCCGCGGTACGATCCTTCCGCTTGTAGCACATCGCGGTAGCTTTAGCTAAGTGCTCTGCATGATCCGGGAAAATGAGCATTCCCGCGCGCATCTGGCTGATACGTTTCGGGGGCTTGACGTGATCACGACTGCAGAGTCCAGACTGCTTGCATGTGATGCAGTGAGTTTGTTGCGTGTTGAAATCAACAGTGTTAAATTGTGAGCACCAGGGAGTGTACAGCACCCCCAATGTACAATACTCCCTGGTGTCGAGCACGACCTAACACTTCACCTGACTTGGCTTGCTTCTGCTAGCAGGCGGCAGCCATGCCCTGCTGTCGCTTTGCCCGGTCCTACTCCTACTGGGCATACCGGGAAGGTAAACTGATGCACAACTGGCATCAAGTACAACAAGAAGAGGAGGGAAAGCATGCTGTGATTCTGAGTTTCACGCACACGTAGGCGATCATGAGACAACAGGCTTCAATCACTGTAACATTCCGGTAACAGGTATTTAGCGCATTAAGAAATAATTGCACACGCACCCGGACGGTGTACACGAGTCGTGGACCTGTTAACATGAGCAGGACATGTGGAAGGGGTAATTATAATTTACTTCAAAGTATAATTATTTATAATTATAATATGCTCCCGGAGGACCTGGGCTGCGTGGGGTGTTCTATTTGACATCATGGGACGTCCGCATGTCCGAAACAGTGTACGTCAGTGTACGTCTTGATGGGTGATGAATCTGATGATGATACTCTTTGACTGCGATTGTAAGTTTTGCAGCCCGGTGACGGCGGTGAGCCAGCCTGTGCACGTTTAGGGACTTCGGTTTGAAGGTGTCCGGGAAGTGAAGGAAGAGCCATGATGGAGTAGCAGCCATGATCTAGAAGCTATTGAAGACACCTACGTGAAATCTCCGGACTAAGAAGAGCTCTTTACACAGCCTGTGTGGTGAGCTAGGGCTTCCAACGCCGATACCATGCACAAGTACAATGCACATGTACCGGTGCTAGTCGAGCCATACGAGCACTATCCGTTGCCATACACCATGACCTGCATAAGTAAGTTGGCAGGGGAAAGATCGGCAGCATTCTAAGCTCGCAAAATGCTAAGCAGTGCCGGAGTGCACACACACACACACACACCACCTCAGTGTCTCATTCTATGTCCTTTCGGGCATGTGCGGTGCAAGTGTCCAGACAAAGCCGCGAAGCTCGCCTGGACTGTAGACATCCCAGTGCAATCCGTGGCGAAATTGTTTGTGAAGAGCTAGTTCTGCAGACCTAGCTAGCTAGCAGTTAGGTGCAATCAGGTTACTAATACCGCTACATGGTATTCACGTTCCTCTCGCCCGTGCTTAGTCGATCAGCTAGACTAGACTGGGCGCTGTCAAGATTCCTACGTGGACTACACAAAGCACTTGTCCGCGGTCAATATAGTCTACACAAGTAGAATTGTCCGTTCTGGAAGGATTCGGAGCCACTTGGTCCAGTACAAGGGTGAGTAACTGTAAGAGAATACGATCAAGATACTGTAGTTCAGGCGTGAATCCGTAATTATGCTGTACGACCTGCATGCAACGACGATCCAGTATATCCTATTGTTCACTATCATCGCTTCAGCGATGGCAGGTGTAAGGGCTAAGGATAGGCGTATGGTGTGGCTCGTACCCGCCATGCTGAACAAAATGGCAAATACTAAAATTTTAATTTTAATTCTGCTCGAAAAGCAGTGGAATTGGCAAAACCATACAAACCTTATGACAGGCATTTCCTTGAATTCTGCTCCACTTCCTTTATCCAGATGCCAAATGCATGGCACATACAAGAAAATGTACCAAATTCTGAAATTTTTCTGCCGGCATTTAATATCCGCCAAGCTAGGGCTACCATGGAGTTAGTACATGTACATAATCATTCACCTCGTGTGGTCAATAAGCTGGAATCCATCGAGAGTTCCATCAAGATTTCCAGAGTTCATACTGTAAGGTCAACATGGTCCAGGCGGCAGGCAGGCCAGGGTCTCCGCTCTCGCACTGCTCGTGGCTGCCTGCCACCCTGTGATCGTTGAAGTGCAACTTGACCTTGACACACACACACACACACACACACACACACACACACACACACACACACACACACACACACACACACACACACACACACACACACACACACACACACACACACACACACACACACACACACACACACACACACACACACACACACACACACACACACACACACACACACACACACACACACACACACACACACACACACACACACACACACACACACACACACACACACACACACACACACACACACACACACACACACACACACACACACACACACACACACACACACACACACACACACACACACACACACACACACACACACACACACACACACACACACACACACACACACACACACACACACACACACACACACACACACACACACACACACACACACACACACACACACACACACACACACACACACACACACACACACACACACACACACACACACACACACACACGAATACACATACAGGCGCGCGCAAACACACACACACACATGCACACATACACACACGCAACAACGCGCGGAGCACACACACACACACACAGAGTGCCGGCTCATTTCTGGTCTACCTTATCCTTCCTTGTGTGCCGGTAGCTAGCTGTGAGCAGCTCGCCAGCTCCGGATTATGGTCACCACTGGTCACCAGCTAGCTCTGTGGTCGCGGTGACGCGGTCTCTCCAGACAGTCAACGGTTATGTGTCAATCATGTGATCGACTGATTGCCCGTCATGCAAAACTCCAGACTAGCGCGCTTGTGCGGACGCTTGGTCCGGATCGGAGTCAATCGCTTGCAGGCTGCACGCTACGCTGCTGGCGTGCGAGCTGCGAGCATCTGCCTGGTCGCATGGTTCATTCTGCTGATCTGGTTCAACATACAGCGCGCTGCATGCATCGGCTTGTGGCAAAGCTCTTTGCACTGCAGTTCTTCTCCACTCAATCGGATCCACTCACAACCCGAATTTCCAACCTTGCATGCTGTGTTTCAGATACTGGCACACTAGAGTTTGCCTTTCTCAGAATACCTCTCTGCTGCTCCCTGCTCTGTCTCATCGGGGTTTATTTGCCGTAGAAGTAAGCGTTCTCCTGTCGCAGTAGAATTTGCCGTGGTTTGCCCAGTCCCATCGGCGTAACTGCTTGTGGTGGAACTTTGGTGCCAGCTGATCTCCGAAAAGGAAGGCCAAATTTAGCCAGGAACACTCGGGACGGCGTTTGTGAGAGGCTGAGATTTGTGAGATCATGCTTCGTCCGTAAGTATACCAAAACTGCTGCTGATCTTGCTGGATTGTAGAATTTCATCTGCGCCGTGGATCCTCGATCCTGGGAGTAAATTCTCACCCCAAGCCTGACATAAAATTTAGCAACAGCATCGGTTTCACGGATGACACCTGTTTGAGAAAGGGATAAGCTGCCCTTTGGTTACGGATGCCGTGAGTTTGTGGATATGGAGAGCTTTCAGGGTGCGCCATGTCGTGAAAGAAAGGAGGCAAGATCTGATAGCTTGTAGTATTTTGAAGCGCCGAGCTGATTGTGGATTATTTTCGACGTCGACTCTTGCCCATATGGGTTTGTTTTGCGAAACTTCGCAGCTTGTCACACAGGCGTATCATTGCCTGTCAACTTGGTGACGGAGGCTCGCAGAAGGTGACAGATACGGTCATACCCTTAGAGTTGCCAAGCCATCCTGACCTGTCAAGTGTTGCAGAGTCATGGCGTGATCAGTTGAGTAGCAAAAGAGTGCTACTCAGAGTGATGGGCTGGCCAAACCAGACAATGATTGTCCAGCTTGTGCATGATCCATGATGCTAGTAGTCCGATGCCCAAATCAAATCAGGGATCAAACCAAGCTATGCAGGAGAGCCACTAGTCCAGTTGTAGATATCAATGTGGACAGAATCAGTCAAGTGCACTGGCTTCTGTGCTTGTGCGTGGATGTGTGTGTGTGTGTGTGTGTCAGAGAGAGAGACAAAATACACGGGTAGGCAGTTGCAGTTGGTAGCTGTGGCTTGTTGCGCAGGAAACTTCATGGCAACGACTTCCACGGTGTACTAACGCTGGGGTTATTGCCACCACTGCACAGTTCAGTACTCGTGCAGCCGGCATGGTTCCTGAGTACGTTTTGGCGGGGGCAGAGAACGTGTCGTCGGTGTATTCTTATTTCCTCGGCGAAAAGCGGAGGAGTGTCTGCGGCATTGTTAACGCCAAGAAACGGGATAGAACCTGGTCCTTGTTCAAATTGTATTTTTAAACTGTTTAGGACTATACATGCACAATGCACTACTTATGGGCATGATGTTTTAGCCACGTTCAGTCCGGTTTAGTCTAACGTAGGTGTTTGTTTGTACTGTACAGTTGCAGCGCAGCAAACGCCTACCTACCTCAGGACTAGTTTAGTACCACACTCCCCGAGTGCGAAACTCATGTCTTTCAGTGCTTGTGTTGAGAGTCAACTTACAGCGAGCAATGTGGGCAGGTGTTCCTCGTGTGTTTCCCCGGAACACTTTGGACTTTCCCCATGTACGCCCGGCGTGACCGTTCCAGTGCTGATAGGACTGGGCTTTTCACGTGTTCCTTTTCCCCCAGGCTCCATCATCCTTTCCCACCACCGTATAATCTCTTTACCTGGATGTCACATGTGTGTGTGTGTGTGTGTGTGTGCGTGTGTGTGTGCATGTGATTGTGTGTGTGTGTGTATATAATATGGTTGTGTGTCTGCACCCGTGTGTATGGGTGTGTGTCTGGATGTGTGTTGTGTCTGTATGTGTGTTGTGTCTGTGTGTATTGATGTGCACGTGTGTGTGTATCTGCTTGCATATCTGTAAACACTGGTGCTGACCGCCGTTTAGCTGGAGGCCGTCCTAGGAGCTGATCGATCTCACATGCACATGCACGTGCTGTACACTACCATTCCTTGCTGTACAGTCTTGGCTGAGTTGCCAACACTCATGAACAATACTGCTGAGAAAGAATGTCGGCACGTCCACAGAGTGTCTTCATCGGGAGGTAAGCCATGCATGCACCCGTCTACATTTAGCACACACTTTCATAGCAGTACAGTGCAACATGCACATGCAGCACTGCTGTAGAACAAACACATGTAGTGCTCCAGTGCAACTTACACATTCAGTGCACTGGCACACTTGCACTTGCAGCACCTGGCCCTGTGCACAATACACATTCAGTGCACTGGCGCACTTACACTTGCAGCACCTGGCCCCTGTGCGACATACACATTCAGGCTGAGCCCAGTTAGAGCATGCACTTGCAGCGCTGCAGTGCACCACACATTCATATAGCGCCCCCGGTGCAACTTACACATGTCACGTCCCAGTCCAACACACACATGCACTGCCCCATTGCAACATACATGTTCACACGCAGCACCCCTGTGCAACATAGGTACACATGCAGCACCCCAGTACCACCTCAACAGCTCGTGCAATGCATTGTAGCGAGTCCATGGAAAGTAGCATGCAAGTGAGGCGATATCTGGTACCATTGGCACAAGATGTTGACAACAGTAGAAAACTGTGGCGTGGTCAGTGCAGGATAAACATCAATCTGCTGCTTTTATACTTCGAAGTATTATCTGAGCATCAACTATCAGCATTGCATTACATCTAATGGTAGTATCGTGAATGTTTAGTGTTGCTCTGACATAGTTCAACGTTTTCAATTTGTTGGATGTGTTCCATTGCCCCTTAGCTACCTTCTTATGGCAATGCATGATCTGTGCTAACTTCTAACGGTTTCGCTTGACCAGTTCTAAGGTATAGACTTATGATCGGATAAGTCTGGACGATGGGTGACTGGCCCGAAACGTCATAATTTTTTTCGACATCACAATAAAATTAATTTTTCATCCATTAAGTTGACAAACCCCTTTTCTTTTTGATTGGATAATGTACATGTAACTTCAGTAGTGTTACCTGACTATTTGACAGTACGGCCTGCTGTAGCGCTTCCAGCCTCTGCCTGTCTTTGTCGCTTGCTATCTCTGCATTCACTCGGCCAGCGACCTTGTTGCGTGCAAGTATCACCTCCTCATGTCCGCTGCATCAGCGTCACTGCCACTGGCTTCTGTCTCCTTCCACTGTGATCATGGTGTATTAAGATAGCCACGTCAACATTCACTCGACGCTGTGGTAATAGCGTGTCCATCGCTGTTGCTGATTTCCATTTGCTGTGAAATTTTGACGATATCATGCCGCTGCTGCTGATGATGATGATGGTTCCAGTGGCCTCAGTATCCACTGCTGTCTGCATTCCTAGGCCACCATCTCCACCCTCCACACTGCCCTAATGAACGATGAATAGTCGGTCAACGATGCTAATCGTCACACTTCAATTTTCACTTCGTTCGTACCCTTTTTGGACCCTTGCTATTATTAAAATAAAAAGTGTATAATATGAGATTGACCTGATCGCCAATTTGCTTCTGGAGATCTATTGCACTGTTCTGATATTGTCTGAAGTTAAATAAAATTAAACGTACTACGAGACTGACCTGATGGGCAACTCGCCTCTGGAGAACTCTTGCAGTGTTTTGATATCGTCTGAAGTGACTACCGTTCTGACTGTCTGTACTGGTAGCGACCATGCTAACTGACTGACCAATTGCCTCTGGAGAACTTTTTTTTGATATGGTCTGAAGTGATTCCTGTACTACTGGTTATGTCCGTGCTAACCAACTGACCAACTATAATTCCTAGCAGCAAACTTGAACATCCAGTAGCTTGCGTGCAACTCTGCTTTCTGATTGAAAGCCATCATGGGATGAAACTTAACTAACGCGTGCCACCGAACCAGCTCAGATCTAACAGCATTGAATAGCCGCCGCCCGCAGCCGATGAGACTAACACATTACTCACCTTGCCGTCGTGTGATGTCATATGGTGTAGTCTTGTCTTCTATACGTGCTGCTGCTTCCCAACACCCGCAGGAAAAACAACCGCAAGGTAGACTCCACCACCAAGAGCCTCCTGACTGCACCCGGCCGAGCCCTGCCCTGGTGCGTATCCGTCGCCGCCTCCGCTGCTGCTTCCGTACTACGGGTCTGTCTGGTAACGCCGCTGTGATCACGCTCGCTGTGGCGAGCACGCACGTGGCTGTTTGCCTCTGCGTGCAGCGCTTTGCTTTTACTACTGCCTAGCTATGCTTTCTCTCCCCCCCCCCCCATCTCCGTGTGTGCATTATCTCCAATGTGCATCTTGCTGTCCGCTGGGTCTAGTTTGCCGTAACACACGCAGATGTGCAGCAGTCATGCTGCTCGTCCTGCTGCATGCAGTACAGGCTATTCACGCGATATGTAAAATTCGTTTAGCTCACACAATGCGATAAGTCAGGCTCTTTTTTGCAACCTGAACACGATGTTCTGGTGTGAGTGCCCTATACGCACAAGTCACGCACCCGCGATAAGTCGTGCTGTTTGGTCACGAGGATGGAGTGCTTGCCTGTGGAGAGTAGACTGTCGTATGTTACAGTGTAGGGTAGAATGCCTGTGGAGAGTAGACTGTCGTATGTTACAGTGTAGGGTAGAATGTCTGTGGAGAGTAGACTGTCGTATGTTACAGTGTAGGGTAGAATGCCTGTGGAGAGTAGACTGTCGTATGTTACAGTGTAGGGTAGAATGCCTGTGGAGAGTAGACTGTCGTATGTTACAGTGTAGGGTAGAATGTCTGTGGAGAGTAGACTGTCGTATGTTACAGTGTAGGGTAGAATGCCTGTGGAGAGTAGACTGTCGTATGTTACAGTGTAGGGTAGAATGTCTGTGGAGAGTAGACTGTCGTATGTTACAGTGTAGGGTAGAATGCCTGTGGAGAGTAGACTGTCGTATGTTACAGTGTAGGGTAGAATGTCTGTGGAGAGTAGACTGTCGTATGTTACAGTGTAGGGTAGAATGCCTGTGGAGAGTAGACTGTCGTATGTTACAGTGTAGGGTAGAATGCCTCTCTCTCTCTCTCTCTCTCTCTCTCTCTCTCTCTCTCTCTCTCTCTCTCTCTCTCTCTCTCTCTCTCTCTCTCTCTCTCTCTCTCTCTCTCTCTCTCTCTCTCTCTCTCTCTCTCTCTCTCTCTCTTTCTTTCTTTCTTCCTTCCTCCCTCCCTCCCTCCCTCCCTCCCTCCTGTACATTCACAGGCCGGGACGATGAACTACATTGTACTTCCTTCACACATCGTCCAAATATAATCCCAGTGCGGAGTTCGAAGGAAGGAACTCGCAGACAAGTCATCAAGTTCCCAGACTGGCCAGAGTAGCACGGAAGTGGCCATGGGCCATGGCCCATGTAATACGTGGAGATCAGTGATAAATTCGGAGCATTTTTGCATACCTGTGCACCAGCTGCAGCCGCAGTGTACTCCATGGGGCCCTTGGGAGTACATCGCCGCAGATAAATGTGTGGTTGTAATGGTAATCAGGGAGTAGTTTAATCCAGTGTGTACAGTACAACAGTCAGTATTGTACTGCTCCCTGGTGGTATTAAAATGAAAGGGCATTAACCACCATAGTATTGCAATGGAACTCACCTAAGCACATACTCTGAGAAGATGATCACTTGCTTAGTACGGCCATTGTTCGGGAAGCGGATGTACTGCTGAGTGCTGAAGCATGTTTCGATTTTGAAAACCTCGGATAGGTCAACTTCGCTGTTTTCCATGCGGGTAGATCTGCATGTACGTCTTATCAGAGTCAGAACACTGGTCGTTATTGGGAGGTGGTCCTTGTGAGCAGATCAGTCAAATACCTGTACATACTGTACATGAACGGAGACCTTAGGCCTCGGCCTTTGGGGAATCCATAAATAAATGAATAAACATGTACCGGTATCACATGGTTCGCGGAAAGAGATCCCTGTACCGGGACGATAGCTTTTATTGTACGTGATTGCACGGTCCTGTCTAATCGTATTCTTATGCCTTTCGAGTAGAGCTGGATACGATTTTTTTGGCGAGCATTCGCCGCCCATGCTGACGATGATAAGTACATGACTGTATATAACACACTACGATAACTGTGCATGACCTTCTGATGTACATGTACATGTACATGTACAGTAGTTATTTAGTACGTCCAGCACCTGTATACTGGGAGTAGGGGTAGCCACACCTCTGACACGCTCCAGATTTGTATAACCGGTGATGCAATTGTTGGCGAGACATTGCCTTTACAAGTACTAATGTATTCCCGACAAATGTGTCGATGAATACTGATCAGCATCTGAGCTGAGTTGTATCAGCACATGGCACCAGCCGACCAAAGACACAACTTACTGAAGTGCACTTCCGCGGTACGATCCTTCCGCTTGTAGCACATCGCGGTAGCTTTAGCTAAGTGCTCTGCATGATCCGGGAAAATGAGCATTCCCGCGCGCATCTGGCTGATACGTTTCGGGGGCTTGACGTGATCACGACTGCAGAGTCCAGACTGCTTGCATGTGATGCAGTGAGTTTGTTGCGTGTTGAAATCAACAGTGTTAAATTGTGAGCACCAGGGAGTGTACAGCACCCCCAATGTACAATACTCCCTGGTGTCGAGCACGACCTAACACTTCACCTGACTTGGCTTGCTTCTGCTAGCAGGCGGCAGCCATGCCCTGCTGTCGCTTTGCCCGGTCCTACTCCTACTGGGCATACCGGGAAGGTAAACTGATGCACAACTGGCATCAAGTACAACAAGAAGAGGAGGGAAAGCATGCTGTGATTCTGAGTTTCACGCACACGTAGGCGATCATGAGACAACAGGCTTCAATCACTGTAACATTCCGGTAACAGGTATTTAGCGCATTAAGAAATAATTGCACACGCACCCGGACGGTGTACACGAGTCGTGGACCTGTTAACATGAGCAGGACATGTGGAAGGGGTAATTATAATTTACTTCAAAGTATAATTATTTATAATTATAATATGCTCCCGGAGGACCTGGGCTGCGTGGGGTGTTCTATTTGACATCATGGGACGTCCGCATGTCCGAAACAGTGTACGTCAGTGTACGTCTTGATGGGTGATGAATCTGATGATGATACTCTTTGACTGCGATTGTAAGTTTTGCAGCCCGGTGACGGCGGTGAGCCAGCCTGTGCACGTTTAGGGACTTCGGTTTGAAGGTGTCCGGGAAGTGAAGGAAGAGCCATGATGGAGTAGCAGCCATGATCTAGAAGCTATTGAAGACACCTACGTGAAATCTCCGGACTAAGAAGAGCTCTTTACACAGCCTGTGTGGTGAGCTAGGGCTTCCAACGCCGATACCATGCACAAGTACAATGCACATGTACCGGTGCTAGTCGAGCCATACGAGCACTATCCGTTGCCATACACCATGACCTGCATAAGTAAGTTGGCAGGGGAAAGATCGGCAGCATTCTAAGCTCGCAAAATGCTAAGCAGTGCCGGAGTGCACACACACACACACACACCACCTCAGTGTCTCATTCTATGTCCTTTCGGGCATGTGCGGTGCAAGTGTCCAGACAAAGCCGCGAAGCTCGCCTGGACTGTAGACATCCCAGTGCAATCCGTGGCGAAATTGTTTGTGAAGAGCTAGTTCTGCAGACCTAGCTAGCTAGCAGTTAGGTGCAATCAGGTTACTAATACCGCTACATGGTATTCACGTTCCTCTCGCCCGTGCTTAGTCGATCAGCTAGACTAGACTGGGCGCTGTCAAGATTCCTACGTGGACTACACAAAGCACTTGTCCGCGGTCAATATAGTCTACACAAGTAGAATTGTCCGTTCTGGAAGGATTCGGAGCCACTTGGTCCAGTACAAGGGTGAGTAACTGTAAGAGAATACGATCAAGATACTGTAGTTCAGGCGTGAATCCGTAATTATGCTGTACGACCTGCATGCAACGACGATCCAGTATATCCTATTGTTCACTATCATCGCTTCAGCGATGGCAGGTGTAAGGGCTAAGGATAGGCGTATGGTGTGGCTCGTACCCGCCATGCTGAACAAAATGGCAAATACTAAAATTTTAATTTTAATTCTGCTCGAAAAGCAGTGGAATTGGCAAAACCATACAAACCTTATGACAGGCATTTCCTTGAATTCTGCTCCACTTCCTTTATCCAGATGCCAAATGCATGGCACATACAAGAAAATGTACCAAATTCTGAAATTTTTCTGCCGGCATTTAATATCCGCCAAGCTAGGGCTACCATGGAGTTAGTACATGTACATAATCATTCACCTCGTGTGGTCAATAAGCTGGAATCCATCGAGAGTTCCATCAAGATTTCCAGAGTTCATACTGTAAGGTCAACATGGTCCAGGCGGCAGGCAGGCCAGGGTCTCCGCTCTCGCACTGCTCGTGGCTGCCTGCCACCCTGTGATCGTTGAAGTGCAACTTGACCTTGACACACACACACACACACACACACACACACACACACACACACACACACACACACACACACACACACACACACACACACACACACACACACACACACACACACACACACACACACACACACACACACACACACACACACACACACACACACACACACACACACACACACACACACACACACACACACACACACACACACACACACACACACACACACACACACACACACACACACACACACACACACACACACACACACACACACACACACACACACACACACACACACACACACACACACACACACACACACACACACACACACACACACACACACACACACACACACACACACACACACACACACACACACACACACACACACACACACACACACACACACACACACACACACACACACACACACACACACACACACACACACACACACACACACACACACACACACACACACACACACACACACACACACACACACACACACACACACACACACACACACACACACACACACACACACACACACACACACACACACACACACACACACACACACACACACACACACACACACACACACACACGAATACACATACAGGCGCGCGCAAACACACACACACATGCACACATACACACACGCAACAACGCGCGGAGCACACACACACACACACAGAGTGCCGGCTCATTTCTGGTCTACCTTATCCTTCCTTGTGTGCCGGTAGCTAGCTGTGAGCAGCTCGCCAGCTCCGGATTATGGTCACCACTGGTCACCAGCTAGCTCTGTGGTCGCGGTGACGCGGTCTCTCCAGACAGTCAACGGTTATGTGTCAATCATGTGATCGACTGATTGCCCGTCATGCAAAACTCCAGACTAGCGCGCTTGTGCGGACGCTTGGTCCGGATCGGAGTCAATCGCTTGCAGGCTGCACGCTACGCTGCTGGCGTGCGAGCTGCGAGCATCTGCCTGGTCGCATGGTTCATTCTGCTGATCTGGTTCAACATACAGCGCGCTGCATGCATCGGCTTGTGGCAAAGCTCTTTGCACTGCAGTTCTTCTCCACTCAATCGGATCCACTCACAACCCGAATTTCCAACCTTGCATGCTGTGTTTCAGATACTGGCACACTAGAGTTTGCCTTTCTCAGAATACCTCTCTGCTGCTCCCTGCTCTGTCTCATCGGGGTTTATTTGCCGTAGAAGTAAGCGTTCTCCTGTCGCAGTAGAATTTGCCGTGGTTTGCCCAGTCCCATCGGCGTAACTGCTTGTGGTGGAACTTTGGTGCCAGCTGATCTCCGAAAAGGAAGGCCAAATTTAGCCAGGAACACTCGGGACGGCGTTTGTGAGAGGCTGAGATTTGTGAGATCATGCTTCGTCCGTAAGTATACCAAAACTGCTGCTGATCTTGCTGGATTGTAGAATTTCATCTGCGCCGTGGATCCTCGATCCTGGGAGTAAATTCTCACCCCAAGCCTGACATAAAATTTAGCAACAGCATCGGTTTCACGGATGACACCTGTTTGAGAAAGGGATAAGCTGCCCTTTGGTTACGGATGCCGTGAGTTTGTGGATATGGAGAGCTTTCAGGGTGCGCCATGTCGTGAAAGAAAGGAGGCAAGATCTGATAGCTTGTAGTATTTTGAAGCGCCGAGCTGATTGTGGATTATTTTCGACGTCGACTCTTGCCCATATGGGTTTGTTTTGCGAAACTTCGCAGCTTGTCACACAGGCGTATCATTGCCTGTCAACTTGGTGACGGAGGCTCGCAGAAGGTGACAGATACGGTCATACCCTTAGAGTTGCCAAGCCATCCTGACCTGTCAAGTGTTGCAGAGTCATGGCGTGATCAGTTGAGTAGCAAAAGAGTGCTACTCAGAGTGATGGGCTGGCCAAACCAGACAATGATTGTCCAGCTTGTGCATGATCCATGATGCTAGTAGTCCGATGCCCAAATCAAATCAGGGATCAAACCAAGCTATGCAGGAGAGCCACTAGTCCAGTTGTAGATATCAATGTGGACAGAATCAGTCAAGTGCACTGGCTTCTGTGCTTGTGCGTGGATGTGTGAGTGTGTGTGTGTGTGTGTGTCAGAGAGAGAGACAAAATACACGGGTAGGCAGTTGCAGTTGGTAGCTGTGGCTTGTTGCGCAGGAAACTTCATGGCAACGACTTCCACGGTGTACTAACGCTGGGGTTATTGCCACCACTGCACAGTTCAGTACTCGTGCAGCCGGCATGGTTCCTGAGTACGTTTTGGCGGGGGCAGAGAACGTGTCGTCGGTGTATTCTTATTTCCTCGGCGAAAAGCGGAGGAGTGTCTGCGGCATTGTTAACGCCAAGAAACGGGATAGAACCTGGTCCTTGTTCAAATTGTATTTTTAAACTGTTTAGGACTATACATGCACAATGCACTACTTATGGGCATGATGTTTTAGCCACGTTCAGTCCGGTTTAGTCTAACGTAGGTGTTTGTTTGTACTGTACAGTTGCAGCGCAGCAAACGCCTACCTACCTCAGGACTAGTTTAGTACCACACTCCCCGAGTGCGAAACTCATGTCTTTCAGTGCTTGTGTTGAGAGTCAACTTACAGCGAGCAATGTGGGCAGGTGTTCCTCGTGTGTTTCCCCGGAACACTTTGGACTTTCCCCATGTACGCCCGGCGTGACCGTTCCAGTGCTGATAGGACTGGGCTTTTCACGTGTTCCTTTTCCCCCAGGCTCCATCATCCTTTCCCACCACCGTATAATCTCTTTACCTGGATGTCACATGTGTGTGTGTGTGTGTGTGTGTGCGTGTGTGTGTGCATGTGATTGTGTGTGTGTGTGTATATAATATGGTTGTGTGTCTGCACCCGTGTGTATGGGTGTGTGTCTGGATGTGTGTTGTGTCTGTATGTGTGTTGTGTCTGTGTGTATTGATGTGCACGTGTGTGTGTATCTGCTTGCATATCTGTAAACACTGGTGCTGACCGCCGTTTAGCTGGAGGCCGTCCTAGGAGCTGATCGATCTCACATGCACATGCACGTGCTGTACACTACCATTCCTTGCTGTACAGTCTTGGCTGAGTTGCCAACACTCATGAACAATACTGCTGAGAAAGAATGTCGGCACGTCCACAGAGTGTCTTCATCGGGAGGTAAGCCATGCATGCACCCGTCTACATTTAGCACACACTTTCATAGCAGTACAGTGCAACATGCACATGCAGCACTGCTGTAGAACAAACACATGTAGTGCTCCAGTGCAACTTACACATTCAGTGCACTGGCACACTTGCACTTGCAGCACCTGGCCCTGTGCACAATACACATTCAGTGCACTGGCGCACTTACACTTGCAGCACCTGGCCCCTGTGCGACATACACATTCAGGCTGAGCCCAGTTAGAGCATGCACTTGCAGCGCTGCAGTGCACCACACATTCATATAGCGCCCCGGTGCAACTTACACATGTCACGTCCCAGTCCAACACACACATGCACTGCCCCATTGCAACATACATGTTCACACGCAGCACCCCTGTGCAACATAGGTACACATGCAGCACCCCAGTACCACCTCAACAGCTCGTGCAATGCATTGTAGCGAGTCCATGGAAAGTAGCATGCAAGTGAGGCGATATCTGGTACCATTGGCACAAGATGTTGACAACAGTAGAAAACTGTGGCGTGGTCAGTGCAGGATAAACATCAATCTGCTGCTTTTATACTTCGAAGTATTATCTGAGCATCAACTATCAGCATTGCATTACATCTAATGGTAGTATCGTGAATGTTTAGTGTTGCTCTGACATAGTTCAACGTTTTCAATTTGTTGGATGTGTTCCATTGCCCCTTAGCTACCTTCTTATGGCAATGCATGATCTGTGCTAACTTCTAACGGTTTCGCTTGACCAGTTCTAAGGTATAGACTTATGATCGGATAAGTCTGGACGATGGGTGACTGGCCCGAAACGTCATAATTTTTTTCGACATCACAATAAAATTAATTTTTCATCCATTAAGTTGACAAACCCCTTTTCTTTTTGATTGGATAATGTACATGTAACTTCAGTAGTGTTACCTGACTATTTGACAGTACGGCCTGCTGTAGCGCTTCCAGCCTCTGCCTGTCTTTGTCGCTTGCTATCTCTGCATTCACTCGGCCAGCGACCTTGTTGCGTGCAAGTATCACCTCCTCATGTCCGCTGCATCAGCGTCACTGCCACTGGCTTCTGTCTCCTTCCACTGTGATCATGGTGTATTAAGATAGCCACGTCAACATTCACTCGACGCTGTGGTAATAGCGTGTCCACCGCTGTTGCTGATTTCCATTTGCTGTGAAATTTTGACGATATCATGCCGCTGCTGCTGATGATGATGATGGTTCCAGTGGCCTCAGTATCCACTGCTGTCTGCATTCCTAGGCCACCATCTCCACCCTCCACACTGCCCTAATGAACGATGAATAGTCGGTCAACGATGCTAATCGTCACACTTCAATTTTCACTTCGTTCGTACCCTTTTTGGACCCTTGCTATTATTAAAATAAAAAGTGTATAATATGAGATTGACCTGATCGCCAATTTGCTTCTGGAGATCTATTGCACTGTTCTGATATTGTCTGAAGTTAAATAAAATTAAACGTACTACGAGACTGACCTGATGGGCAACTCGCCTCTGGAGAACTCTTGCAGTGTTTTGATATCGTCTGAAGTGACTACCGTTCTGACTGTCTGTACTGGTAGCGACCATGCTAACTGACTGACCAATTGCCTCTGGAGAACTTTTTTTTGATATGGTCTGAAGTGATTCCTGTACTACTGGTTATGTCCGTGCTAACCAACTGACCAACTATAATTCCTAGCAGCAAACTTGAACATCCAGTAGCTTGCGTGCAACTCTGCTTTCTGATTGAAAGCCATCATGGGATGAAACTTAACTAACGCGTGCCACCGAACCAGCTCAGATCTAACAGCATTGAATAGCCGCCGCCCGCAGCCGATGAGACTAACACATTACTCACCTTGCCGTCGTGTGATGTCATATGGTGTAGTCTTGTCTTCTATACGTGCTGCTGCTTCCCAACACCCGCAGGAAAAACAACCGCAAGGTAGACTCCACCACCAAGAGCCTCCTGACTGCACCCGGCCGAGCCCTGCCCTGGTGCGTATCCGTCGCCGCCTCCGCTGCTGCTTCCGTACTACGGGTCTGTCTGGTAACGCCGCTGTGATCACGCTCGCTGTGGCGAGCACGCACGTGGCTGTTTGCCTCTGCGTGCAGCGCTTTGCTTTTACTACTGCCTAGCTATGCTTTCTCTCCCCCCCCCCCCCATCTCCGTGTGTGCATTATCTCCAATGTGCATCTTGCTGTCCGCTGGGTCTAGTTTGCCGTAACACACGCAGATGTGCAGCAGTCATGCTGCTCGTCCTGCTGCATGCAGTACAGGCTATTCACGCGATATGTAAAATTCGTTTAGCTCACACAATGCGATAAGTCAGGCTCTTTTTTGCAACCTGAACACGATGTTCTGGTGTGAGTGCCCTATACGCACAAGTCACGCACCCGCGATAAGTCGTGCTGTTTGGTCACGAGGATGGAGTGCTTGCCTGTGGAGAGTAGACTGTCGTATGTTACAGTGTAGGGTAGAATGCCTGTGGAGAGTAGACTGTCGTATGTTACAGTGTAGGGTAGAATGTCTGTGGAGAGTAGACTGTCGTATGTTACAGTGTAGGGTAGAATGCCTGTGGAGAGTAGACTGTCGTATGTTACAGTGTAGGGTAGAATGCCTGTGGAGAGTAGACTGTCGTATGTTACAGTGTAGGGTAGAATGTCTGTGGAGAGTAGACTGTCGTATGTTACAGTGTAGGGTAGAATGCCTGTGGAGAGTAGACTGTCGTATGTTACAGTGTAGGGTAGAATGTCTGTGGAGAGTAGACTGTCGTATGTTACAGTGTAGGGTAGAATGCCTGTGGAGAGTAGACTGTCGTATGTTACAGTGTAGGGTAGAATGTCTGTGGAGAGTAGACTGTCGTATGTTACAGTGTAGGGTAGAATGCCTGTGGAGAGTAGACTGTCGTATGTTACAGTGTAGGGTAGAATGCCTGTGGAGAGTAGACTGTCGTATGTTACAGTGTAGGGTAGAATGCCTGTGGAGAGTAGACTGTTGTATGTTACAGTGTAGGGTAGAATGTCTGTGGAGAGTAGACTGTCGTATGTTACAGTGTAGGGTAGAATGCCTGTGGAGAGTAGACTGTCGTATGTTACAGTGTAGGGTAGAATGCCTGTGGAGAGTAGACTGTCGTATGTTACAGTGTAGGGTAGAATGCCTGTGGAGAGTAGACTGTCGTATGTTACAGTGTAGGGTAGAATGTCTGTGGAGAGTAGACTGTCGTATGTTACAGTGTAGGGTAGAATGCCTGTGGAGAGTAGACTGTCGTATGTTACAGTGTAGGGTAGAATGCCTGTGGAGAGTAGACTGTCGTATGTTACAGTGTAGGGTAGAATGCCTGTGGAGAGTAGACTGTCGTATGTTACAGTGTAGGGTAGAATGTCTGTGGAGAGTAGACTGTCGTATGTTACAGTGTAGGGTAGAATGCCTGTGGAGAGTAGACTGTCGTATGTTACAGTGTAGGGTAGAATGCCTGTGGAGAGTAGACTGTCGTATGTTACAGTGTAGGGTAGAATGCCTGTGGAGAGTAGACTGTCGTATGTTACAGTGTAGGGTAGAATGTCTGTGGAGAGTAGACTGTCGTATGTTACAGTGTAGGGTAGAATGCCTGTGGAGAGTAGACTGTCGTATGTTACAGTGTAGGGTAGAATGTCTGTGGAGAGTAGACTGTCGTATGTTACAGTGTAGGGTAGAATGCCTGTGGAGAGTAGACTGTCGTATGTTACAGTGTAGGGTAGAATGTCTGTGGAGAGTAGACTGTCGTATGTTACAGTGTAGGGTAGAATGCCTGTGGAGAGTAGACTGTCGTATGTTACAGTGTAGGGTAGAATGCCTGTGGAGAGTAGACTGTCATATGTTACCATGGTTACAGGGTAGAATATTTGCAGGCAAATGTGACTTGTGTATGCCATGTAGTCACACTGCATACTGGCAAGAATTGTCTCTACAGTCCATTTCAAAACTATAGACGCGTAGGGTTTTTGAAATATTTCAAATTTGGCTGGAGCTTTTTGAGAATACACTCGAACGTCTCATATCCGGGCACCTTGGGACCGGGCACTGCCCGTATCTCGGATTTGCCCGTATCTCGGATTTGCCCGTATCTCAAGGTAACCCATCTACCATGTATCATATCATTTTTGAACAGGTTCAATTTACACATATTGCACATGTTCAGGATACAAAAAGAATCCATTGGTTAAACTGTGTGGATTGCACAGGTTGGCAGTGACAAATAAGCACTTGCGCATACAAAAAAAAGTTCAAAACCCCTAAATTCGAAGCATTTTTGCCATAGGAACCCAAGCTGAAGGTGCCCGGTAGAGAGACGTGCCCGTATCTGAGGCGTCCGGATAAGAGACGTTTGAGTGTAGTTTTCAGGATATTGCTCAGGTCCGCTCCACAATTACTCTCATTATAGTTTCTAAACGATTGGATAACAGACTCCCAATTTGGAAAAATTTATGCACAAAGTGATCACAGATTTTATGTGGTATAGATGCTGGCATAACGGTTTTTGCCTAGGTACGCGTCTATAGTTTTGAAATGGACTGTAGGTTCATTCCCGGTTGTTTATGCTCGTTCTTTTCCACCTACATGTATCTGTTCTGTCCCCTTCATCTTCCTTCACCCTGTCCCTGTGTGCTCTTGTTTGTGTTCACGTGTGCTCGTTCATTTGCATCTTCCTGTCCCTTCTCCATTATCTCCCCACTCCTGCTCTCTGTGTGTTCTTGCTTGTGTTTGCCTGGCGTCCTTGTTCTTTTGCACCTTGTTGCCCCTTCCACTTCACCTTCCTTCACCCTTTCGCCGTGTGGTCTTGTTTTGTGTTTGCGCACCTGCAGTCTGATCAGACAACTTCATACCGAGGACACACCCAACAACAACTCTGTGTCAGACCTGCTCGTGCTTGTCTCAGAAGTCAAGGGGCTCAAGGACTGTGGACTGTGCAAGTCAAAAGCGTATGTAGACATTGCGCGGAGTTTATATCTATAGCAACTTAAGTGTGAATTTGACGAAACTCCTTAGTCATGATCCAACGTTTTTCTTGGTCTTCACACCTGCTCAACCAAACGTTGTCAAAGTGTTCTGGTATACATGTAGTAAGCCAGAGCTACTAGGGAGGTTTAGTTCCCACGTAACGGAAACGCGTACATGGGTGATCCACGTAAAGTGAATGAAGGGCACCCACGTTGCAATGTTGTGTTTAGTCACACGGAACAAACAAAAGCATGAAGCGAAAGGCCCAAACCGGGTCAAAGACGAAGCTACCTGGGCCTAAGAAGCTCATCCAATATTTTGATTTCGTGCTTCGGAAACTTCTTCAGCTGAGCACCCTCACAGCTCGCACAATGCGCTCAATTCTGATTTTCGCCCACGTTCTGGTGGAACGTGGGTGAGCCTCCATACACAGTATGTCGTGAATCAGAAAACGTCTGTAAGTGGGTCACTGAGTATCACGTGGTACACACACGTAAAGTACCCACGGATTATGTGGGACTAAACCTCCCTAATGAGCCGCGTGCCCTGCACACGTCCCCCAGTGTGTGTGTGTGTGTGTGTTCATAATGGTGGCTGGTTGTGTGGGTGGGGGTGCAGTTGTGTGTATGTCCATGAGCCCTTTGGCTTTATTCAACGCTCTCTCTCTCTCTCACTCTCTCTCTCTCCCTCTCTCTCCCTCTCTCTCTCTCTCTCTCTCTCTCTCTCTCTCTACCTCTCTCTCTCTACCTCTCTCTCTCTACCTCTCTCTCCTTCCCTCTCTCTCTCTCTCTCTCTCTCTCTCTCTCTCTCTCTCTCTCTCTCTCTCTCTCTCTCTCTCTCTTTCTCTCTCTCCCTCTCTCTCCTCTCTCTCTCTCTCTCTCTCTCTCTCTCTCTCTCTCTCTCTCTCTCTCTCTCTCTCTCTCTCTCTCTCTCTCTCTCTCTCTCTCTCTCTCCCTCTCCCTCTGTTCTTTTGAATAATATTTTGTGTATGTGTACACGTACATGTGCAGAGGCTTCTACTGTGAGATCGAGCTCAATGGCGATGTCGTGGGCCGATCGTCTTGCAAGCAGGCCAGCACACCTGACTCGGTGTTCTGGGGCGAGCGCTTTCTGTTCGTCAACCTGCGCGTCATCCGCACTGCCACGGTGAAGTTCTACCGAGACCTGGGCAAGCGGCGCTCGCCATCCCAGTGCATCGGCCACATCCAAGTGCCGACGTTGGAAGCCGGACATGGCGAGTTCACGGAGACGTGGTACCCACTAGAGGGCACGTCCCGCAGCCATAGTTATCTCCAGCTACGAGTGCGCTCGTCTTTTCAGGTGAGTCGGCCGATCGCTGGCGTAGCGTGCATGCATGCATTCGTCTCCTTCCATTCAATTTATTTGACGTGCACGGATTGCATCTGAACGGCAAAGAGCTTGTGGTAGGTTGGCACAAGTCCCCACCAGTTCATGTGCATGTCCCTGTACATGTGCGAGTATGCTATGGAAAATGGTGTTCCTGACTGCAACCAGACACCGGTAGTACTCGCATATATTTACCGCTCCTTGTTTGCAGTCAGGAAACACTTTGTGAACAATTTGTGTGCGTGGTTATTGTGCGTTTTAGTGTTGTTGTTTGCGTGTATATGCATTGCAAAATGTAATACATACACCCAGTCCCTCGCTTGCTTTCATGCTGCCATATACAACTAGTGTATAGGCCAGGCTTGCCCCGTGTAAATCATTCTGAGGGTGGGTAACTGGCCCGAAACACCATAATCTTATATCAATTAAACCTGATTTTCAAGTAGCAACTGAATAGAGCGGTTGTCAGTGGACATGCCACCTTTACCACCGTTATGAATGAAAACCTAACGCATCATGTCTGCTGTTTTCATTGTGTCCTTGCAGCAATTATTAATACTTGACCCACTTTCGTACCAGGCCTTACTACAGGTGGGTACTGCCACTGGGTGCTGTAGGTTGTTTTCCAGCCGCCCACTTCTAGTATTCAGTCAATCCATGGCTGGTAGAATCACTGCAAATTCACCTGAGTTGATCTCATTCTACCAGCTGGGAGAGCATTCTCCACGAAGTGACCATGCCTTACTACGCTAACGCCTACAATAGAACTACCGCCATCCAGTATTCTAAGCGCCAGAGTGTCTGCACCATTAGAGTGTGTGCGCGGTGCGCGCGCGTGTATGTGCGTGTGCGGTGGATACCAGGCTAAAATTTGTGGCGGTCAATACATCAGCCTTGCAAGCTGTTGAATGGTGTAATCTCAGCACAAGTTGCTATGTCTAACATAGCTGTTCGCTGTCATCGCTTCCGCAAGGGGCATGGCTAAGTCTGAGTGCGTGTGTGTGTGTGTGTGTGTGTGTGTGTGTGTGTGTGTGTGTGTATGCTCTAAAATCCACTGGTTCCGCTCACCTGGCCAACCATGCAGACAACGCCCATTTCATCTTTGCTTGCCACTTGGAATTGTGATGAGGTGTTTATGACCTTGTCTATGCGATGTAGAGAAATGACATAAGCATGTGCTAAGTGTGTTGTTCCTTTGCTCCCTGTCTCTGTACTTGTCTGCAGTATGTATTGGATGACGTTGGCAAGATGTGCCAGGTGTTAGAGCCGCTTCTGCCGTCCAAGTCCAAGGTTGGTCTACAGTGCAATCATGAATGGAATTAAATGTACTACCTCACCTGCTTTGGGCTCCGTAATGTCCACGAATGTGTGTGCGTGTGTGTGCACGTGTGTGTGTTTGTGTGTGTGTGTGTGTGTGTGTGTGTGTGTGTGTGTGTGTGTGTGTGTCATCGAGGAGAAAAGGGATGGGCAGGCGTTGGTCTGTGGAGACATAATAATTATGTGCATGTGTCCGTCACTTCTCTACACTAGGAACATAATTATCAGACTGGTCATGCAGCATTTTGCTGGCCTTTTGCCATGTCTATGACATCATGATTCGCTTGTTTTTGAATATTGCCTGCACTACTGCTCACGCTCTTGACGATAATCCTAACACTCTGCTTACTGTCCTTGGTGCAGGATGAACTTGCTCAAACTCTGGTGTATATTCTGAAGGAGCATCGGCAAGTTGTCCGCTTCATGTCGTCCGTCCTCGTCAATGAGGTGGAGACGCTCGAGAGAGAGAATCTCATCCTGCGCGCAAACTCGTTCGCGTCCAAGTCGATCGACTGCTACATGAAGCTAACCGGCACCCAGTACCTGAAGGAGCTGCTCACTCCCGTTGTCCTCTACATCATACACTCTGCACCGGACTGCGAGGTGAGTATCATGCATAGACTGTACTCAGACATGGTGCGCTGTGTCTGCTGTCATTTCCTTTTTGGTAAAAATCGGAGAACAAGACAGTATTCTCGGTGAGAAGGCAGCATTGCTTGTGCCTTGAATGAATGGTATTTGAAGAAGGCAGCCGTAGCAATGTGCTAATGAAAGAGACCTGATCCAAGAGTGCCAGTCACCAACAAACTAACCAATAATGTGGATACCAAGTACTTGAGAGTTGCTCGGTGGGTGACGGCCGCTGGAGGTAGTTGCCCGCCGCCCACCGTTACGATACTCCTGGGATAGAGCAGTCAGTGCAGTCAGAAGGAGTTCTGATGAGTCCCAGAGTACACAGGGAGTAGGGGGGGGGGGGGGGGGGAGGGTACTCTTGTTGGTGTTGTACTGCAAAGCAGCAGAAGTACATGTTGTACTACTACTCACCGATTACCATCAAGAAGGCCACGATATTTGAAATTCTGATCCAATCAAAGTGTGAACTCAGATTGTGAGCCAAGATTTAGAGGGAAATAGAGGAAGCACAAGTTAAGAAAAGCGATTCTGTCAGCTTTTCTATTATTCTGGTCATTATATTATGCTAGAGTCCATCAACTACACCAAGTCTTGAACAGTCAGACGCGTGCAATTCAGTACGAAACTGACAAGGAGTACCGGTACTAGTACCGAGACCAGGCAGAATAATGAGCCTGAGCACTGCTTGATAGCGCTGACCGGCGGCCTTCCAACCTGGCAGGTTGATGGCTATCAGTGATAATGCCAAAGGGGACGGTATGCGCCATCGAGCTGAACACAAGCTACATTCCAAGGCTCAACGGAATGCTGGCTTAGGATGATGCCCTTTATGGCCTATCTTTAAAATTGATAGAACTGAGCCTTCCAAGGTGGGGTGGCTGTTTCTTTGCGTTGTCGAATTGTGGTTTAAAATAGGCCCTACTGTTCAATGATCTTACCTAACAGTCCTAGCCCCAGTGTTTCCTCTTTCCACCACACGTCAAAGTGTAATGGATAACTAGGATCACTTTCGTGAGGAATAGTTTGCTCATTGAAGTATGCTGGTGTGTTTGTCTCGCAGGTTGACCCCACACGACTACTGAATACAGACAAGGAGAGTTTAGAAGAGAACCAGAAAGTTCTCATGTCCATCGTGGAGCGCGTGTGGACCACGGTTTACCAGGGCCTCGAAACGTTTCCACCGTGAGTTGCAAGACGATGCCAGAGAATGCTACTCAAGCATGCCTGTACCACTTCCTGTTCTAAAGAGGTTTTGTGATTACGTCATTGTAGGAGATGTTTTGTACTGGGTGACATCACATGCACTGGTTTCCACCCATACAGAGTAATAGTAATGATGTCATTGCCTGCCTGTACCACTTCCTGTTCTAAAGAGGTTTTGCGATTACGTCATTGCAGGAGATGTTTTGTACTGGATGACATCACATGCACTGGTTTCCACCCCATACAAAGTAATAGTGATGATGTCATTTGCAGTATGGTGGAGCGCAGCCAGCTCTGCACGGCACACACACAAATTCACCAAGAGTAACTACCGTATTTTCCGGAGTACTGTCACACAAATTTTCGGCGTACTTTTATTTTCGGTACTTTCGGTGCATCTGTACTGTTTCATTCCTAAAATTTCAATACACCGAACAAACACTAACACACGTAATCCAATAGGGAACTGCTTCTCTGTACCGAAAATTTCTGTTCACCTAACCTGGCCTTTTGCCCTCACACCGAAAATATTGAGCACCGAAAAATTCCGAATATTAGAGTTGTATAACACGTTATTCTCGGTGTAACTTTGATTTCGGTACTTTCGGTGTAGAAACTAGGCACCTAAGTTTAGAATATATGACACCCAAAAGGCTCTGGGAGTTTGCACTGTATGTGAAGGGAGTGCTGGTCACCTACAAGTGTAATTCTACATTATACCTGAAACCTGGCAGGTACGTGACACCGAAATTCAAGTACACCTAAAAGTTAGTACATGTTATATAGTAGGCTTCACCCAGATTTTTGTCACGAAATACATACATCCACCCTATTTATCACCGTTAATTTGATCATCGTGACAAGCCACACCGACTTTTTGGGGGGTGAATTACTGGTGTTTAAAGTGTGGCTTATACTCCAGAAAGTACGTTAACAGAGGAAGTTATTTTGTGTTATACTTGTGGCCATGGCTCATCAACACCACCTTTGCAATGCTTTAGTGGCCTTGGGTGCTTTGTCACTGGAAGATTACGCTTGATTTCCAAACATTTGCTGTACCAATATTGTTTGTGTGTGTGTCTGTGTGTGTGTGTATGTGTGTGTGTCTGGATGTCCGTCCGGGCATGTGTGATTGCTGTCTTCTCACAGGGATCTCCGGTTCATTTTCTCCGACGTGCGAGCGCGTGTAGCCGATCGCGGAGAGACAATGTGGAAGCGAATAGTCAGCGGAACTGTCTTTCTGAGATTCTTCTGCCCGGCCATTCTGTCTCCTAGTTTATTTCATCTGACAAATCGTGAGTTTCTGACTACAGCTACCCAACAGCCGAGGCCACTGGCTACGGTGCATTGTTAACCCCAGTGAAGTTATCTTCCGTCGTGTAACTGACTGCAGTCATGAGACCAAGGACTGGCCATTGAAAACAATGCAGTGAAGACAGATCACTTTCCGTTGTGGGCCGCATTTCGTGTGTGTATGGGGGGGGGGGGGGGATCTACTTCAAAGATAACATAGGTCCACTCTCCTGTGACAGTGCCAACAGAGCGGAGTCATCTGCATGGTATGGCGACAAAATAGGGAGAGCTTGTGGCGTTTACTCTGGAGTTGTTTTACATCTGCACATACTCCCTTGAGTTTGTCAACTTGACATGGTGTGGCTTCTGCCTCTCTCTCTCTATCTATCTATCTCACTCTCTCTCTCTCTCTCTCTCTCTCTCCCTCTCTCTCTCCACCCTCACAGAATACCCCGATGAGAGGGCGTGCCGGCGGTTAACGCTCGTGGCCAAGGTCATCCAGAACTTGGCAAACGCAACGCGTTTCGGAGGCAAAGAATCTTACATGGTCTTTATCAATGACTTCATGGATCGGGAGATGCCAACGATGGACATCTACCTGAACCAGGTTTCCGTGAGTCATCTTCCCAATTTTCCCCGTAGCAGAGTGCTTCATATTGTGTGCAACATCCACCTCGTCCTACTGGTTTGTGTACGATTTGTTTGCACTGCATCAGTGCATTACACTTCAAAGTAATCTGTACTCATAGACCATAGAGTGCTGTGTCATCATGCTGTCACTATGATGTCATCCGCACGTACCGGTATGTTTGCTGCACGAAATCGGTACTAGTACTTCGCGCATCTCAAAAGGGGCAGGCATATAGCTATTGCTTCTTGCATGACAGGTGTACTATGCTTTATACGCATGTGTTGTGACTGTGTGCCACTCTCTGACTGGCTTCAGCATAATCGCCACTCGAAGCGGTCATTGGCCATTCTGAGCTATGTATCGATTTGAATAAAAAATCAAATAAATCAGTGATCACACACATGCGCACACACACACACACACACACACACACACACACACACACACACACACGCGCACGCGCGCACATGGTAGCAATACGAACAGGTGCACTGGCTGACTTACAGACTAGCTTGGCATCATGCTTCCGGGACCACCAAGTCTGGCCGGAACCCAATCGTAGTTTGTCCTCTTCCTCGTTGTTGCAGAGTCACGTATCGTACCATGAAGACCTGGAGGTGCACGGCGTTCGCTCTCTAGCTGAGCTGATGACCTACGACCTGCAGGTGTCTGACAATTCGCCGGGGCTCAGCACCAGCTCCGACTTTGACGATCTGCCCATTGTCTCGCCGAAGAACAGCCGCTCGCGGATACTGCCCATTGGCGGGAGCGATTCCCTTCTCTTTGATCGCAAGCCGGTGACGCTGCTCGACTGCCCGGCACCGGTAAACCGAGACGCAGCTATTCTACAGCGCATTCTTGCCTATCACCTGCCACGCCTGGATCCGGTAAGTCAGCAACTGTTGCTCTGAGAATACAGCACAGCTAATAGGTATAATCAAAGTTCCACAGGCGAGTTTAGAAGTTTGGCGACAGTCTGGGAATGTACTGTCGAGCAATCTTGTTTTATGACGGCTCCCTGTACTCTCTCCGTATTGGCGAAATTTAGTTTTAGAGAAGAAACTTTTCACACGACTCTAGCATTGCCGGATGAGAATTAGCACGGTCAAGTATTCTATGAAACCAGTGTTATGCTTGCCTTTTTCGTAGAATTTAGCAGGCTTACAAGTTATAACAAGGCGTACATGCCAATACAAAACACGGGGTACTTCTACACAAACAAGAACCAGGCGTATGCGTTGCCGGTCCATCTTCAAAATCAGATTTCTTTCAAGTTGTTTGCAAGGCAGGTATTTCTACATGATAGTAGTAGATGCAGCAGCAGGGATGAATTTATCCTGTATCGCATCGCAGTTTGCTATGCAAAATCGATCTACTGCTACTCAAAAATCACTGCGACTAGCAGAAAACTACGATACGCACGGGTTATCCATGCCTAGCTTGCGCCGTCAAGTAACATGCATACAGTGCAGAGTAGGTGGCACATGACTATACTCTCAATTTGCGTGCACGTGTATGATGCAAGTAACCACACGTAGGGGGAAATCTAGCGGGAAATGTACACAGACACCTTCTTTGTGCTAATCAAAATCAAAGATTGCTACACAGTTGAGATTTTGGATAGCAAAACTGCTATGCAAAAAAATAACAGTAAATTCATCCCTGCAGCAGTATTCTTCACTTCAGCACGTGCTGTCCTGTTTTCTGACTGGAGATCAGTAAATTACTACAGTTGTCGCCGAACAAATTTGTCCAATGCCGATACCATGGACACATTGGTATGGTACTACCAAGAGTACATGTAGTAGATCTACGCGTTCACCATATTCACGACGGTTCTTCGCGGTGGCGTGGTTGCATGCATCATTGCATGCGTATACTGTACTGGCTGTACCAGCAGTCCAGCACTGCACCGAGTGTATGCAGAGCTAGAGGGACATAGTTAGTGCATGTCCAGTGCACTAGTGCCGTAGTGCACGCGCATGGCCCATGTATCGTACTGCTAGCATAGCATTGGCCCATGTATCGTACTGCTAGCATAGCATTGGCCCATGTATCATACTGCTAGCATAGCATTGGCCCATGTATCGTACTGCTAGCATAGCATTGGCCCATGTATCGTACTGCTAGCATAGCATTGGCCCATGTATCGTACTGCTAGCATAGCATTGGCCCATGTATCGTACTGCTAGCATAGCATTGGCCCATGTATCGTACTGCTAGCATAGCATTGGCCCATGTATCGTACTGCTAGCATAGCATTGGCCCATGTATCGTACTGCTAGCATAGCATTGGCCCATGTATCGTACTGCTAGCATAGCATTGGCCCATGTATCGTACTGCTAGCATAGCATTGGCCCATGTATCGTACTGCTAGCATAGCATTGGCCCATGTATCGTACTGCTAGCATAGCATTGGCCGGATTTTATGTGCGATGACTTTAGTACTTTGACTTGTGTTGGATTGGCATTTTCATCTTGAGCCCTATTTAGCTACCTGTTCCATCGGCTGCATGGCAGTCAGGTGGGAGAAAGCGCTGTTGAGTGGATTGAGTTCGGTGTTCTATTTGTATGAAGTAGATTCTTTTTTTCTATTTCTGACATCCGTGCATGTGTGTGTGTGCACATGTGTGTTTGTGTTTATTTGTGTGTATACATGTGTGTATACATGTGTGTATGTGCCTGCATGTGCTCGCATCAGCTCGCTACACAGGAGCTTGACGAGCTTGTGTCGCTGGTGGCCCAGCTGCAGACTGACGTGGCACTGGAGAAAGCCAAGATGAGTATGCCACCGTCGACGTCCCCGATCTGTCCCGTGGCGGACGGTAAGCAAGCCAATGACCAGCGCTGCAAGAGCGATGACGGTCGCTTGTTCCCGTTCTTCCCCGCTGGTGGCGAAGAGGAACCTGTGTCACCCAACGGCCTCTTTCAGAAGTGCCTTTCAGACTTAGATTCTCCCAAAGGTGTGTCTAGGGTTCTGTGACACCCACAGATATGATTAGCTTGATTGTAATCAAATAGGTCTAAAGCCATCATTTCGCTTGCCACAACTGTGGTTGCTAGTTACACTGTGAAGGCACTTCAGTTTATGGTGCCCTCTAGCTCACTAGCTCACACAGTGTAAGGATAAGAACTCACAGTGACGGAGAAGTTGTTTTTGAAACAGGTCTGTTTTTTTTCCTGGAAAAACAAGACGTTGAAAATCCTGGCCATAACGTTATTTGCCCAATCTGGCAAGTGCAATGCGCTGTACACCACTGCAAACGGTCTGCCGTGCTGGACTGTGCGCAGTTCAATCCAGTGCAATACCTATGCTGGCACCGGTTTAACGTTTTCGTGTGCATTGTATAGGCCGAAGTCACCTCACAGTTAGAAAACCGACACTGCACGGATCAATGGTACTTTGCGGATCTGTCCGCCCATAGGAACATGTGTAGAGGAGGGCTCAGCTCCGAAAATATGCTTATACCATGCCCATCATGTAATAGTAATCGCCATTGTGAAAACAATAGAGCGGTTTTTGTTTCCGGAATACAATTTCCATGATCTAGGGGCGCGTTTGGTTGGTACGAACTAGAACAGGATTCACCAGAACAGCGCGTTTGGTTGGGACTGCACCTGTTCTGGGTCGGCCAGAACATGTTCTGCTTGCTCCGGCCTCGAGGCCGGAGCAGACCGAGCAGTTTCACTTTTTCACAGTGAAACCTGGCGGGAACATCGATTTTGGTCCCAAATGATCACGTGCATACTAGGGGTGAAACGATTAGTTCGAATATTTGAGTATTCGTTCGAAAATTTCAAACGAGCGAGTATTCGGAATTTTGCACTCGATCGTTTTTTTTGTTTTTGTTTTTTGTTTTTGTTTTTTTTTGTATTGCCACACTATTGGCATTGTATTTTTCAAAAACTTTTGTTGTACCGCTGGTCCACTGGTATGCATGCGTTATGCATGGGTTTGAGTCAGTATTTTAAGACTTGGACGATGCGATCACCACGGCCAGTAACGTTCTGAGCTATAAAAGTACTGATGAAAATCGTTACTTTACACTCTGTACAAGACATTGGCGACTTTTGTTCTATGTTCACAGATAATTTCTTCCGAATTGGTCGAGAACTCGCAAATATAGTGCTTTTGAATTTTGATAAAATACTCGAAATAATCGGATACTCGATCGAATATTATGAACGAGTGATCGATTGGTCAAAATAGATACTCGTTTCACCCCTAGTGCATACGCTTTTTGGTTGGATTCGTTGTACCGTACAAAGTGACCATGGTGACCCATACGCATTTTGAAAAATGCACCAAGTTTGGCACATTTTTCACAGAAATGTGCTCTGTTTCTGGAGTACCGTTTGGTTGACATGAGGCTGCTCCATGTGCACCAGCTGTTCGATCCTGTTCTAGATCGTACCAACCAAACGCACCCTTGGTCTCCGGACAGAGCGTGATACCGTATGCATGACCCAGTTTGTTGTCCTTGACGGAGGGTGTAGCCAATGTCTCTTTCTGCTTTCAATGTCTTCTCCTTTCTCTACGTGCAGGCCAGTCCATAGAGATCAACCTGTAGTCCAGTGAAGGTACTGGTGGCGGTGGCTGTGATCACGTCTGTACATAGATTAGACTGCACGCTCGCCGCGGTGGTTGCAGAGTAGCTATGCGCCCCGAGCGAGCGCGTCGTGTGTTCGTCCGTTGTCTTCCCGTCCTGAGTGTTGCGTCCGTCGGCCCGCTTGCCTGCCCGCACCCGCTGCCTATCCCACTTGGCATCAGCCGCAGAAGTCGGCCATCATCAATGAAGAGCACTGAGCATGTTCGAGCAGCCAAGGAAGTCCACACATCTTGTGATGCTTTGAACACAACTTGCTACATGCTACCAGGAACTCAGTTGTAACTCGTTCCAGTGATGCAGTGCCGACAAAGCCTGCCTTCTGCTCTGTATCTGCTTCTAGCCGAGAGGTCTGATGGTGCTGATGCTAGCCAAGTGTTTTAGTCTTGCCCTCTTTCCTGCCTTATTGCCACCCCCCCCCCCCCCTTTACACACCCCTCCTTCTCTCTCTCTCTCTCTCTCTCTCTCTCTCTCTCTCTCTCTCTCTCTCTCTCTCTCTCTCTCTCTCTCTCTCTCTCTCTTTCCGCCTCTCTCTTTCCGCCTCTCTCCAGCTCTATTACCATATCTCCCTGTGTCTCTCACGGTTCCACCCCTGCCCCTAGGTCAGAGTTCTAATTCATAAATATAAACTATACAGCCAAGTAGGCCTTTGATATGAAAATATATATAATTATTTTTTGTTTTATTTCATATATTACTAGTATATAATTATACATTGTAGAAAGAAATCCTCCTGTTCCTTTCCGGCGTATTTCCCTTCAAATAGATTTCTTATTTTTCGACAATGTGGCACGAAATTGACTGTTAGTGTCTAATAAAATTACGAAATACTCTCTCTCTCTCTCTCTCTCTCTCTCTCACTTCGTCTGTATGTCACGTCGGGCTGAAACCAGCCACACTGGGGAGGGGGCTTGCTTTCCAGCAATGTCACAGTCACTGTGTGCACAAGTGCAAGACCAGCCTGCACTTTTGCTATGCGCTACACAAGCTACGCGGAGCGTGAGGAGCGCAGTGCCAGACGGCGAGAGGAGGCGCTCCGCACCGAGTGCCAAAACACTAAACGAGATTAACGAGCGCATCGCCAATGCGCATGAGGGTGAGGGTAAAGCCGCGATGGGAGGTACAGAGGAATCTCCCAGTCACAGCGGGGGGCGTCAACCGTTGATGAAAATCCCCTCATATGATGGAACGCAGCCATTGGAGCGTTATCTTGACCTGTTCGAGGACATCTGTTCCAAGAACGAGTTCGAAGAAAGCGAATGGCTGCTGCGACTGCGCATCGCGCTAGCGGGTAGCAAAGCGGAGAGGATATGTATTGGATGCAACAATTACGAGGAAGCAAAGCGAGAGTTGCTTGCCTCGCTCGGAAAGACTCCGGATAAAGCGTGGAAGACATTGCTGACAGGCAAGCAGCGGTCAGATGAGTCGTTTCATCAATACGTTGTCCGTGTTTGCCGAGAGGTAGAGGTGTGGGCCACACTCGCTATGACAGAAGATGGCGAGGTGGGCACCAAGTATAGCGCCGATATAGGTAAAATGGCCGCGGTGCTGCAAGCAATGGCAAAGCAGGTAATCTTGGAGCAATGCGGACCTGAGATGAAGACGTACCTGGTCGAACGGCAGTGCTACGGGATGTCACTGCGCCAGGTACAGGAGCACGGCGCGTCTTACCAGGTCGCGCACGGACGACAGGGTGATACTGCCAGGAAGCCAGTAGAACGATCCGTGCCAAGGCCCACGGCGTCGGCACAGTGCATGGCGATATCGGTCGCAGATGCAGAGAAGCAGCTAAAGTCGCTGCCACAGGAAGAGAGAAAGGGTTTTCTGCAGCGAGAGAGACTCTGCTGGAACTGCCTTAAGTATGGCCATATGGCCAGAGAATGTCGGTCAGGCTCGAGATGCACGAAATGCCAGAGGAAACACCACCTGCTAATACATGATGTGTTGGATAGAGCAGGTTACAGCCGGGAGAAACCGACTGAGATAGTAAGGCCTCGGTCACACTACGGCAGTTTGAAGCTGGACGCAGCGTCAAGCCGCAGCACTTGACGGAGACGCGGGGTCACACAGTGTTTTGTTTTTTTGCAGCTCAGGACTGCCGCGGCTTGACGCATTTGTCTACGTCACAAAACCACCAGGAAAACTCAATGACGACACGGATTCCCACGGAAACCGGCCTTTTGCTTATTATACAAAAAAATTGTCGGACAAAGTTTTCGAATTTTTCATTGATTTTTGATTACAAGAAGACGAAAGGTACTAGGTCCACGCGTGCACGATCGTTGTTGTTTCTTTCCGAATTTGAAGCCATTTTCAGTTGTAGTGTCATTGATCAGGCAAGAAAAGTCTGCATCGCAGCTGTGTTTCTCCTGACTTCGTCATACTGGTTGTCCTTTTTGGGGCTCTTGACGACAACACAACACTCACAAGTCAACAGGCTCCAGTTGGCCGATGACCCACTCAAACAACTGGTCCTTTCTCGACATCATTTTCTTCTCAGAAAGCACCTCGCTCTTCCGCCAGGTTCGGAGCAGAGCTGCCTCGGCCTCGTAGGTCCACGGACTCATCTCGAACAAAAAGAGGGAACAAAACAAACCTTGAACAGACGAATGTCGAATAACTGCTCAACTCAAGCAAAGTGTCTTGAAACTAATTTTACTTGAAAGACACTGTTTTTCCGCCAAGCGTCACTCCCATCAGCGGCAACGCAGCCGATTTCCCCACGTCAGACGCAGCAGCGTCTGACGCTCAAACTTCCCGCGTTGCGTCAGTTGCCATGGAAAAGGTCATGATTCTGACGCTGACGCAGCATTTTTGCCGTAGTGTGACCGAGGCCTTAGGCCTCGGTCACACTACGGCAAAAATGCTGCGTCAGCGTCAGAATCATGACCTTTTCCATGGCAACTGACGCAACGCGGGAAGTTTGAGCGTCAGACGCTGCTGCGTCTGACGTGGGGAAATCGGCTGCGTTGCCGCTGGTGGGAGTGACGCTTGGCGGAAAAACAGTGTCTTTCAAGGAAAATTAGTTTCAAGACATTTGTCTTTGCTTGAGTTGAGCAGTTATTCGACATTCGTCTGTTCAAGGTTTGTTTTGTTCCCTCTTTTTGTTCGAGATGAGTCCGTAGACCTACGAGGCCGAGGCTGCTCTGCTCCGAACCTGGCGGAAGAGCGAGGCGTTTTCTGAGAAGAAAATGATGTCGAGAAAGGACCAGTTGTTTGAGTGGGTCATCGGCCAACTGGAGCCTGTTGACTTGTGAGTGTTGTGTTGTCGTCAAGAGCCCCAAAAAGGACAACCAGTATGACGAAGTCAGGAGAAACACAGCTGCGATGCGGACTTTTCTTGCCTGATCAATGACACTACAACTGAAAATTGCTTCAAATTCGGAAAGAAACAACAACGATCGTGCACGCATGGACCTACATGTAGTACCTTTCGTCTTCTTGTAATCAAAAATCAATGAAAAATTCGAAAACTTTGTCCGACAATTTTTTTGTATAATAAGCAAAAGGCCGGTTTCCGTGGGAATCCGTGTCGTCATTGAGTTTTCCTGGTGGTTTTGTGACGTAGACAAATGCGTCAAGCCGCGGCAGTCATGAGCTGCAAAAAAAACAAAACACTGTGTGACCCCACGTCTCCGTCAAGTGCTGCGGCTTGACGCTGCGTCCAGCTTCAAACTGCCGTAGTGTGACCGAGGCCTAACGGAGAAGAATGTTGGATCGTGCTGTCTACACTCGCCAAGTGTGCGGCTGATGACCGGAGTGGCACGAGTTGAGGGAAGAACTCGAAACGCGAAGGTTCGCGTGTTCCTGGACTCGGGTGCGGAGGCGTCATTCGTGACTGCAGCGTTGGTGTCAGCAATCGATGCAGAACACGTTGGGGTTGAAAATGTAGAGGTGAAGCCGTTCGGCGCGGAACCAACCCAACAGCGCATGGATAAGTACGCCATCACGATCCAGGGTAGCTCCGCTAGCATTCGGGTACGCGCGTTCGTGAAACCAACGCTTGAGCTGGACCTGAAGTGCGCAAGTCCGCAGACCATTGCGCAGTGGCACAGTTGGGGAGTAGAGCTGAGTGACAAGCCTCAACAAGGGACATCAGACGAAATACATATGCTGATTGGTGCAGACTATATCAACGCGGTACTGCACAGCAAGAAGGAAGTTAATGGTGAGACGGTGTGGAACACAGAGATAGGTAATGTATTATCTGGTCCAGCGTCTGCACCAAGTCGAAACAGTCAGCCGGTGACCGTGTCATGTGTCACAGCCCACATTGAACAACTATGGCAGTTGGATGAACCTCCAGAACAACATCAGCACCTGCCATCGTTCCCGCTATGTCGCCAGGGCAGCGGGTACCAAGTGGGTCTCTTGTGGCGAAATGAGCGTCGCCCAACGGATAACTTTACTCAAGCTAGAGTCATCGCAACGCGGCTTCTTGAAAAGCTGAAGAGGAATGGGAAGCGTGCGCTCTATGATGATGTGCTGATCAGGGAGTACCGCGAGCTTGGAGCAATTGAGCTGGAGCCATGTGAGAGCGATGCCGGGTACTATGTACCGCATCATGGTGTATTCCGCGAGCACGCTGCAACCACGAAGTTAAGAGTGGTGTTCAATGCCTCGGCGACGGCGCCAGATGGCAAGTCGTTGAACGACATGGTTGACCCTGGACCGTCGCTATTGCCGAGTCTCGCAGGTATGCTATTACGGTTTCGTGAATATAAGAGCGCGCTGCAAGCGGACATCCGCAAGGCTTTCTTCATGGTCGCGGTTAATCCCGAAGACCGTCCGTACCTGCGTTTCTTGTGGCCCGGTCGAAGCGACAGCGATGAACTGTTAACCTGGAGGCTAACGAAACTGCCATTTGGCGTAAACTGCTCGCCGTACATGCTTACTGCGGTGATTCAGCATCACTTGAAGGAGCTACGGGCGTTGTCTGCACCCAAAGAGCGAGATCGTATTGATCTCTTGCTCACGAGTTTCTACGTTGACGATTTGGTCTCTAGTGTCTCAAATGCCTCGGAAGCCAAGGAGATGCAAGAGTTCAGCGTGCGTGTGCTTACGGATGCTGGCATGGAGTTACGCAAGTGGCGAGGCAACGAAATCCCGTGCGATCCAGAGGCCGGAGATAAAGTCCTCGGTCTGAAATGGAAAACCAGTGATGACTTGCTCAGCATAGCAGCGCTAGGCGAGTCCGATAGGCCGTCTGTTTGGACCCGGCGATCCCTCCTCAAGTGTGTTGCATCAGTGTTTGATCCGCTAGGTCTAGCAGCACCGGCAGTTGTGCCGGGAAAGATACTGCTACAGCAAGCCTGGAAAGTCGGAGGCGACTGGGATGATATGTTGCCTGATGGCATCGCAGCCGCATGTGCGCAATGGTGGGGAGAGTTGGCCGAAGTGGTGAGCATTGACATACCACGTTGGATGTGCTGCAATCTTGACACGCCGATTGCGCTTCATGCCTTCGCCGATGCCAGTGAGAAAGCGTTTGGATGTTGTTTGTATGCAGTCGTCAATGGACAGTCGCACTTGGTATTTGCCAAGGCCAAGGTGGCACCTGTGTCTCCGCCCACGTTAGCCCGCCTTGAGTTACAAGCAGTATGTCTAGCGGCTCGCTACGCTGAGTTTGTGGTGAAGGAGCTGCGTGTGACCGTCACGCAAGTCTATGGCTGGACTGACAGTCTCACTACCGTTCATTGGATCAGTAATCCATCGTACAAATGGAAAACATTTGTGGCTAACCGCGTCAGTCAAGTCCAAGAGATATCGAAGAAGGTCGGCATTGTGTGGAACCATTGCCCGGGCCTTCACAACCCAGCAGATTTACCGTCGCGTGGGAGTAGTGCACAGCAGATCCGTAGTCCGTTCTGGAGGGGCGGACCAACCTGGATCACGGAGCCCAATGACTGGCCCACCGCATCCTCAACCGCCGCTACAGATGAGTCCAGTGTAGAAGTACGAGTGTCAGCCACCACCTGTAGTCGAGAATCTGATAAGGAATGGTGGCTCCGATTCAGTAAATGGTCGAGGGCACAGGGCATGGTGACTCGGATGTTGCAGTGGAAGCACACTGAGCCTCGTGCTGAACTCTATTTTGCAGCAGACAACGTATTGTACCGCATCGTTCAAGCCGCATGTTTCGCTGAGGATCTTGAGCTGATCAAGCAAGGCCAACCAGTGAAGCCCGGGTCGAAGGTGTATCAGCTTGCACCGTTTCTGGATGAGCATGGAGTGCTCAGAGCCGGGGGAAGACTTCAGCACAGCGAGTTGGCGTATGGAGCCAAGCACCCAGTCCTGTTAGGCAAACATCATCTGACCGAGTTGCTGTTGGAGAAAATGCATGTTGAAAGGATGCACCAAGGTGTAGAAGGAGTCTTGTCGTTCATCCGTCAGAAATTTTGGATTATCGGTGGTCGACGGGCGCTACGCAACATTACTCAGCGATGTGTTACATGCCGCCGCTACAAGGCTAAGGCTGCCTCAGAAGTCTGCCCGCCGCTGCCGGAAGACCGAGTTGTTCACGAGAGGCCGTTCGCAACTACCGGCATCGACTATGCTGGTCCGTTGTACGTGCGCCGTGGTGAGTCATCTCCGAAGGTATGGATAGCATTGTTTGTGTGTGCCACCACCAGAGCAGTTCACTTGGAGGTGGTCGATAGTTTAAGTACTGAGTCATTCTTGATAGCATTTCGGAAGTTTGTCGCGAGACGTAGTTTGCCGTCTCGGATCAGGTCTGACAACGCTACAACGTTCAAGGCGGCATCTGACAAACTGAGTGTGCCATGGATGTTCAATCCTCCAGCTGCACCATGGCATGGAGGCTTCTATGAGAGAATGGTTGGTACAGTGAAGAGTGCCTTGAAAAAGGTAATGGGAACAGCGTTTCTGAAGGTCCAGGAGCTTGAGACCCTCTTGTATGAGGTTGAAGCAGTGGTGAATAGTCGTCCGCTAACTTATGTGTCTGATAGCCTGGATGAGCCACCAGTAACCCATGCAATGATGATGGGTGACATCTGGATGTCGTCAGAGAAGCCAGCAGGTACCCTGGACGCTGCGCAGATGTCATCGAGATTGCGTTACCTCAGTCGGACATTGGAGCATGTCAAGAATCGTTGGGAGGTGGAGTACCTAAGTCAGCTGAACAAACACCAACAGACCATGTCGCGCCCTTTAGCTATGGGTGATGTTGTCTTTGTTCTCGATGATACCAAACGCAAACAGTTCTGGCGTTTGGGACGGATCATCGAGTTATTCCCTGGTCGAGATGGTAAGCGTCGTGTTGCCAAGGTTAAGTTGAGTACCAGTACCCTGTTGAGGCCGATCCAAAGGTTAGTGCCATTAGAAGTATCGTCACAGGACGTGGCTCCTGGGCTTGCCGATACCGCTCAACCTGCTATCGTCCCTCAGCAGCCAGCGTATGAACCGTCAGCACCGTTACCACCACCACGGCAGCAGGAGATGACGCGTTCTGGGCGCGTAGTCAGAGCCCCGGATCGTTTTTGACTTGTGTGCATTGTTGTACGGCGGTGAGAAGCCCTTTGGTGGGGAGAATGTTGCAAACCACCAGTTCTCAATTGGGAAAGGCCTTCGCGCTTATGGCGTTGTATTCGTCGCAATGTTGTCTTTCGACTCCGCCGTACCGCTGATGTTGCTGCATGGCATACGCTATATGCGCTGTGTGTGTTTTTGCTGTATACGCTGTTATGTCCAGTTTTATATGCTTATGTTTTGCATGTACGCTGTTTTTGCATGCTATAAATAGCTGGTGTTATTAGTGTTCATTGTTAATTATCAGATGAAGTGAAATATACTGTGTAAAGGAAAACAGTTGTCCTCGTGCCGTGTGGTCGTACGATCCTGACAATTTAGAGAATCTTAGAGGGTTCATAACACACGTCGGTGTCTGTTTGTCATCATGACTAAGTCGTGCAGTTATCACTTACATACTTTGAAGTACATGATCGTACTACCCTGTCCGATCCCATGTAGTGATAATCGTCTAGACTATAGAGATCAAATTACATTTTGTTTTATATTTCATTATTTACTATGTTCACATACCCAACTCGTAATTTTTTTAAAATAACAATGAAAGACAATCAGGGAGTTGTAAAATACCGGTATTTTACGACTCCCTGAAGACAATGGTACTGAGACAACACTCAGGGTGCGTTTGGTTGGTACGATCTAGAACAGGATCGAACAGCTGGTGCACACGGAGCAGCCTCATGCCAACCAAACGGTACTCCAGAAACAGAGCATGTTTTTGTGAAAAATATGCCAAACTTGGTGCATTCTTCAAAATGTGTATGGGTCACCATGGTCACTGTGTACGATACGACGAGTCCAACCCAAAAGCGTATGCACGTGATCATTTAGGACCAAAATCGATGTTCCCGCCAGGTTTCACTGTGAAAAAGTGAAACTGCTCGGTCTGCTCCGGCCTCGAGGCCGGAGCAAGCAGAACATGTTCTGGCCGACCCAGAACAGGTGCAGTCCCAACCAAACGCGCTGTTCTGGTGAATCCTGTTCTAGTTCGCACCAACCAAACGCGCCCTCAGTCTTCAACCAAAGCTATAAATAATTATATCTCTACCTGTACCCGCATGCACTTGGCCGGCTAGGCCTAGGGCCAGTAGTGGGCCAGTGGCAGTACTGTGTAGATGACCATCGTTGCGGTCCCTCCCTACCTACATGTACATGTACCTCCATATCTCCCTCCCCTGACCCCCTCTCCCCCCTTTCCGATTTCTCTTTCAGCACAAGGCACGTTCACCACAAGTTGAAAGTGGCTTGCCCGGTACCGGTACAGTGTATGTAGTTTTTTTTTAGATCTCGGCAGGGAGTCATCAAACACCAAAATATTTGCGGATTCCCTGATCTTAGCCAAAAGAGGAATCACTTTGTCCAAGCACAAACATAAAACTAATTTAAAAGTCACATACCTTCTTTTACAGGCCGCTACACCGTGTAGTCGTTGCAAAAACGGGAGAAATGCCGCAGTCCCCACTACCGGTTTCTACTTCGTCTCCTACTCCGCATTCATGATCACTGTGCATGCTTAGAGCACGCACAGTGATCTACGTTCTAAAGTGAGATATTCCTTCAGCCTTCAGGCTTCAGTAGTTACCTTGGATCCGCAAAGAAAAAACTTTCTTTGCGGATCCAAGGTAACTACTGAAGGAATCTCACTTTAGAACGTAGATCACTGTGCGTGCTCTAAGCATGCACAGTGATCATGAATGCTACGAGGAGACTCGAAGAACTCTGATTGGAGTTCGCCGAGGCTCCTCCAATCTGTATCCTCACAACTAACTACATGTACTTGACACAAGGCAAAGGCCCACGATCGTAGATATGCACGATGGGACGAACACGATGCAGCCGGGCTGAAACGCTGACTGAACGATTACAGTTACAATAGGGGGAATTCCCAGAGTGCTCAACAAGGCAAAGCCAAGGCTCAGACCGTGGCACTGGTACATGTACATGACTGTACAGTACATGTATTACAGAATACAGTCAGTATGGCTACCCTGTGAGGCTGTGAGTGCATGACAGACTAACCCGTAGTAACCGGTCACTTGGATTTGGAAGCGCACACTGCCGTTCTTGCACACAACTCACAAGTCTTGTGTGTGCACTGCTTGCTACTGAGTACGTGAATTATTTTTGGCTTTCTCTTCTCGACTGTAGTTTTATGACTCAAATATGAGTTCAAAGCATGGAGTCATAGACCCCTGGCCCTGCGGCCCTGGTTCAAAGTAATGCTACTAGTAGTAGTAGGTTCTACGCATAGTATACCATGACATTGTGATATTTTTCATGCTTCAGGATTCAGGAAGCAGAATCTGATCTAAATTTTACTAAAAGTACAACCATGATGACATTGTAAAACAGTAAAAGTAACAATGTGTCGTTTCTTTCATTCGCTATCAAACATTCTAACTCGTCGTCCCTAACGCTGCAATCTCATGGTGTTTGCTGAACAGACGCACTGTTGATGAAGAGCTTGGACTTTTGTGCCTGAACGGCTAATAGCAGTAGCGCACAGGACAGTGCTTGGTGAGCCAGGGTGATTCTCGATCATCGGATTGGAATTTTTCCGTTGGCATTGTACCTTCTTTGCTTGTGTTTTTGAGGCTCGATGGCTGATCAGTCAAGTTCGCTCCCGAACGAAGAGAGTACAGGAAGCTGTGCAATCTGTGGAGAGCATCCTGAGCAAGGACGTGTTCTGCCATGCAAACACGCGTGTTGCCTGCAGTGCCTAGAGAACGGAAAGACTCGACCTGCTCGATTGCACAAGAGGCGTTCGTACAAGGTCCGATGTCCGCTGTGCCAGGCGAAACATCTCACCAAGACCGTCTCGGCCTTTCCGAGAGTCTCAGTTGATGCGCAATCAGGCGTCAAGTCCATATCGATATCCGTTGAATGCAAAAACCATCCTAACCAGCTGGTGCAGGCAATCTGCAATGAGCATTGTGTAGGAGTGTGCGAAGCGTGCATTCAAGGTCACCAGTCTTGTTCAATGACCTTACCAGAGGATTGGTCCTCAAAGGGATTGGATTTGAGAAAACAGGCTGTCACCACTGCTGAGCTAACTCTTATTCCCCTGTGCCGTATGATGGTGACGAGTGAAGACAACTTTACAGCCCTACGAAAACACGTACAGCATGTGGAGGGTGAGATGGTCCCAAACCCGAACCCTGATCCAAGCAAAGATGAGTTCTCGATCAGAGAACTACATGACATGTTCGATACGGAAGGCGCAGAATACTCTGATCATAGTACGCTGCTGTGCAGGGAAGTGCAGGTGTTCCTCGACCTATTCACTGTATGCGAGAAACTTCTCACCTATTCACGAGACGACATTGTCGAGCAAACAAGTGCCATCTGCTCGGCACTTCTGCGTATGAAGAAGATGGCCTGCGCAGAGTTGGCAACATCGGCTTGGGAGCGTAGCCATGTTGTGGAGTATTCCGATTACAAGCTGATCATAAGGGATGCACAGCGTGGCACGTACACCGCAAATGCAAAGCCGAAGGAGGACATGTCTTTGGAAGATGCGGCGACGGCTTTCAGTGATCTTCATGGTCATGCCGTATTACTAGAAAAAGACATTGCGCAGGCAATCGATTACACACTCACCTCACTACTCCGGTGGAAGAGCAAAGCAAACACCATGGCGTCGTCACACAGCCCCGGTGGCGGCGATACTCCTCACGGTGGCCTGATCAGTGCTAGTCAGCTGAAGCAAGGCCAGCAGCGCTACGACCAACGCCAGCAGCAGGCCAAGCGCCTAAACGCTGAGCAGAACCGGCGCTTATCAGAGCAAGGTCAGCAGGCCGACGCGCTACGCCGCAAGCGCCAGGAGAGCACCGACAGACGTGCCAGTGAAAGCGTGCTCAGTCAGGGTCAACGGGCCGACAAGCTGCGGCGCCAGAGACAAGAGCAACTCGAAGAGCAACGTCTCAAGATCCAGCAGGCACGGAAAGAAGAAGAAGAGCGTCAAGAGCAGCGCCGTAGAAAGGCGCAGGAGGCCCTGGAAAAGCAAAAGCAGGATCGTTTGGAGCAGGAAAGGAAGATGCAGGCGGAGATTGAGCGGCAGCGTGAGAAGCAAAGATCTGAGAAGCAAAGGCGCGAAGAAATACGCCAGCAGCACCAGGAAAAACAACTGCAGCAGCATGCAGCGCTCAAGCAGGATCGCGTCGAGAAAAGTCAGAGAATGCAGAACGAGCAGCGATCCGTGTTGGAGGATTTCCAACGCCAGCAGCACGCTGGAATCCAGCAGCAGCACCAGAGCCTGCAAGAGCGCAGTGAACAGCATCACAGCCTGCGCCTAGAGCAAGAAGACCAAGTCCACCAGGTTCTCCAGCGCCAGCAGGAGAAGAAGAAGCAGACCACTGACACGCACCAGGCCCATCAGCACCTTGACGATGACCAACTAGACCTGCAGAAACGCCACGAGGAGAAACAGCAACAGCAGCAGCAGATGCTCATTGAGCAGCGTGGGAATGATGTCCAGCGAGAGCAGAGGCTGCGTGACACCATGGCATCTAAAAAACAACAACAAGAGTACCAGCTACGTGACATGGTCGAAAAGCACCACATTGGCGAGAAGCAGACGCCTCGCCTTGCCAATGCTGTCCAGGATGTCATGGAGATGCAGCGTCGGCAGAATGTAGAGCACGAGGAGCGCATCAAGCAAGTGCTCGGAGCACAGGACGAAAAGAAAAGAAAACAGCAAGAACAGCAGCAAGGTGGTGGCATGGATGTTGATCCTGTTCTTCGTGCACAGGCCGACAAGAAGAGAGCACAGCAAGAGGAGCTTGTGCAGCTCAAGCTGAGTGAGGAGAAACGACTGCAGGAGCAGATCGAGAAGAAACGGCAGCATCAACAGGCCGTGGTGGATCAGCATCAAGCAGAGGAGAGACAGCACCGAGAACAAGTGCTACAGGTTCTGAGGCACCAGCCATCCCTTGACCAAGCCACTTGAGATTCGGGCCACATCCGAATTCTTCACGTCCTTACACAAACTTTACTGAATAATAGGTTGGTATCCAAGGGTTCGGCTCTTGAGATTTGGGCCACATCCGAATTCTACACGTCCTTACACACGGTTCACAACTTGATTGGCAGGTATCCAAGGAGTCGGCGTTGACTTCAAATTTCCCGACTACATTATAGTTCTCCCAATGACTGACATTGGGAGTATGTCAGGTACACGTAAGTGACACAAACAAGTCTGGTGGTCTTTTTCAGTATGATCCACCCAACACTGATCTTTGCTGCTGATGAATCGAATGACATAATTCCCATACATTCCAGCAGAAAAAGACAAAATAAAATACTTGTGGAATTATAGTATCTATAAAGCTATAATTCCACAAGTATTTGTCTTTTTCTCGGTGCTTTCGGTACATGTTTGTCCTGCCTAAACTTCCGATACCTGAACAAACACTGATAAGGTTCATACAATAGCCAACTGACTTTCTGTCAAATTCTGTTCCCTCACTGGTCCTATCATAGCCTTGAACGTTCCACGCTGGAAGGCTGTTGGTTTGCGCACTGGAAAGGCTGTTGGTTTGCGCACTGGAGATGTGTTAGAGCTAGGTCTCAGGCCGTTGAATGTCTCAGTAGCCTGTCAGTTTTGTACTCTGTTATCGCACTTTCTGATTACTTATCTTGTTACAGTCGTGGATAGTTGCTTCATAACTCGTTTCCATGTGATTTCTTTCTACATGTATTTTGATTTTCGGTCCCTAAACTTTCACTTTCTCATTCTCTCGTCTCCTGGATGGCGGGGATTAAAGTGACTACTAGCACCATGCTACCCATTCAATATCGCACCAGTGGAGAACCCCTGGATAGGCTACCCGCCTCTGGGTCATCCCTCAAATAAAGATAATAATATATCAACAGACTTGTTTGAGGGAAAGAGACAAACGGGAAAAGTCTGAAGAAAAAATTGACTGTCACCACCAGGACTCGAACCAGGGACCTTCGCTTGTAGCCAGCGATGCTCTAACCACTGAGCTATGGTGTAGTCGTCATCCCAGCATGCAGAGGCCAGTTACAATGTAATAATAATAATATAATACAAATAATCTACGTGGAGATAATAATTTTAATATAGCTATGAATAGGATGAAGGCTGCAGACGTCATGCAACTACGTTACTTGTTTGACATGTATTACTGTGTATTAAAGGGGAAGAAGTTAAGGCAAAAATTAAAATTTCACCAGTTGTAGTCTTCGGGGTGCTGAGTCGAATGGTCTTGGTCCGAGAAAGCTGAGACGCTCCCTTCCTACTTGAATCCCAATCGAACTCGCGCACTTCCACCGAAACTGGGTGACTGCGCCCTACGAGATGGGGATTTGTATGCAAAATGTCACTAAAAGCGCCATTTCGTTCTTATAAAAGCACGGATGACCGCGATTAGCCCATATGTTGTAGTCTTTTGGACGCTGAGTCGACTGGTTTTGGTCCGAAAAGGCTGCGATGCAGCGTTCCTCCTTTATTCCCAATCGAACATGGTTGAACAAGCGGTCACGTGCTCCTGGGTGCCCAAATCACCTGGTCACCACGCCAGCAGGCGACAACTTTCACACCAAGGTTCAACTCGAGTGACAGGACTGCACCCAAAAAAGGTCAAACAGGCTAGTAAGTTGTACCCTGCAGGCACGGTGACCAGGTGATTGGCGTACGCAGGAGCACGTGACCGCTTGTTCAACCATGTTCGATTCAGTGGAAGTGCGCGAGTTCGATTGGGATTCAAGTAGGAAGGGAGCGTCTCAGCTTCCTCGGACCACGACCATTCGACTCAGCACCCCGAAGACTACAACTGGTGAAATTTTAATTTTTGCCTTAACTTCCCCTTTAACTGTTTTTATAACAAGAATATTGAAAATCCAGAATCGATTTTCTCGTTCCTATCATCAGTGGGAAAAATACGCAATAATATTTTTGTTATAAAATACGTATAGGATATTGACCAAGACGAGGTCTATATGGGAAATATAGGCCGAGTAAAAGACCGAGGTCCGCCGAGGTCTTTTACGAGGCCTATATTTCCCATATAGACCGAAGTCGAGGTCAATATCCTATTTATCACGATTCCTTTGCCATAACCCCTAAATTCGAAACTTTAGGAGCTATTTTAACCTTTTTAGTATAGCATGTGTACTATAGTGTACATAGGATGTTGCCTATTTTGGGTACAAGACTGTAAGAGCAACAAGGTTCAGCATCTGCAGCACAGTGGCTGGGTGGTATAAGGGGTTGCTTGAGATTCATACTGTTGTGGGTTCGAATCCTGCTTTTTCTCTTCCTTTGTCTTCTTTAATTCAAATTTTCTTTTTGAAGTGGAGAGAAAAATTCTAAGTCCCTCCAAAGTCGAAAGATTACAATGCCTAAGTGGTCGATACAAGCGGTCAATACAAGCGGTCGATATTGCGGCGATATGGGTAATATAGGACCAGTCAAGGATCACGAGAATTAGTGGAGGTCGATATAGAAGAGTGATAAACAGTAATACATGTCAAACAAGTAACGTAGTTGCGTGATGTCGGCGGCCTTCATCCTATTCATAGCTATAATAATAATAATAATCTTATTTTAATAAAATTAATAATTATCTGAACTTAGAAGTTGCGACTTCGGCGGTAATAGTCATGAAGTTGATTGTTCCAACTAGGAACACACGCTTCTTGCCGAACTTGACACTTGACTGACTCACGACTGCCATCCGGAGCACACGAGCAGGGCACACGAGCAGGGAGTGGTGCTTTCTTGCAGGTTTGCCGAGCTGAAGGTGCGACGTGCTCCTCGTGTGCTCCGGATGGCAGTGGTGAGTCAGTCAAGTGTCAAGTTCGGCAAGAAGCGTGTTTTCCTAGTTGGAACAATCAACTTCAAAAATAATATCTGAGTTCTTTAAAAATAATAATCTAGAACATTTTTAAAAGAACTTTGAAGCTCTATTGTAGCCTCGTCATCTTTTCACTTCACCTCCAATTTGCAACACACGAACAGTCCTTGGCTACACCGCGCACAGCGTACAGCGTTAGAACAACATTGTTCTAACGTTAAAGAAATCACAGTTCACATCAGACTCGGCTAGAGGCCAAGGTTCTAATGTTAGATTGTATTTAATTTAAACCCTGCCATTTCAGGCCGGGGAGTTGAATCACACTATGTGGCCGTATTACGTACGGGTGTATTATTATTCAAATAGTCAGCGCAATCTTCCGAGGTGACACCTTGTCAAAAGCTATAGGGGTTTCGTATTGCTTCAATAAAATACAGCGCCATCTTCATGTACTGTAGCGCCGAAAGACTAAGTGAAGAGCTAGAAAATTACAATATGCAGCCAGCTGCTATGCAACTTTCTGGCTAATATGCAGTACATTGTACTTGATCAGCATAAGCTTGTCAAGGTGATGGCAGAACAAAAGCTTCAGGGCACAGCTGACTATATCAACTGAGCACATAATTATGTGCAGTTTAGGGAGATGATAAAAGTAAATAACAAGATTATAAGAGAGAGAGAGAGAGAGAGAGAGAGAGAGAGAGAGAGAGAGAGAGAGAGAGAGAGAGAGAGAGAGAGAGAGAGAGAGAGAGAGAGAGAGAGAGAGAGAGAGAGAGAGAGAGAGAGAGAGAGAGAAGAGAGAGAGAGAGAGAGAGAGAGAGAGAGAGAGAGAGAGAGAGAGAGAGAGAGAGAGAGAGAGAGAGAGAGAGAGAGAGAGAGAGAGAGAGAGAGAGAGAGAGAGAGAGAGAGAGAGAGAGAGAGAGAGAGAGAGAGAGAGAGAGAGAGAGAGAGAGAGAGAAGAGAGAGAAAGAAAGAGAGAGAGAAAGAGAGAGAGAGAGAGAGAGAGAGAGAGAGAGAGAGAGAAGGGGGGGGGGAGAAAGAGAGAAAGAGAGAGAGGGGGGGGGGGGGAGAGAAAGACACAGACAGAGAGAGAGGGGGGGGGAGAGAGAGAGAGAGAGAGAGAGAGAGAGAGAGAGAGAGAGAGAGAGAGAGAGAGAGAGAGAAAGAGATGCTGGCAAAGTGGAGCTGACACCAACAATGCTGGCGGGGGTATTCGGCTCAATTCACCATGCCTGTACACTTTGTTATGTGCCGGTGTGGTCCATCGCACAGATTAGGGGCAGCCTTGACTTCATGTTGCGGAGCTGTTCACTGACTGCTCACACTTCATGCCAATCGCACACCTCTGGGTGGCAACACTATACACAGTCAAACACCTCGTACAGGGATTTCTCAAGGCAGCCGATCTTTGAGCTACGCCTGTGACTCACTTGGTGGCCGTTTCCTGTTTCTCTTCTTGTGGCCCTGAGAACCCGGCTCACGATGCTCCATGAGCCGTTCTTCCCCTGATACCTGGGCTAGATCACCTCTGTGTGTTCTCGTCCGGGGTCCAGAATCCACGTCCACGTCCACGTCTTGCACGGTTGCCTCTCCTGATGTTAGTTGTTCCGGACTCCAGACACACCTGCTCGGAACTGGCCATGCTGTTGGTCTCTGGCACATCATCCCTGGCACTGGTGCGACCACGGCAATCTCTCCCCGTGCGGATGCCCCTCCTAGCGCCTCGATTCTGGCCAGGTGCCTGTCGAGGGACTCGTCCCGCGGCGGCTGGCGTGGCTACTTGAGTCCTGCATGATTCACGATATCCGTAATGTCTTTGTGCAGAGTGATTGCCATGAAGAGTGCCCTGTGCTGCCTTGCCCAGCTCATGATGGCGGTGGGCCTGTTCAGGACCGCCTTGAGAAAATGCGTTGCCATCCATGCGCTGGTGATTGGAATCAAACCACACGAGTTTGTGAGGCAACTCTGTTCTTGTGGCAGTGCCACCACCACGACGCCGTTCACGTGTGCGCCTTGGTCTGGCACTACCCCTGCTGCTCGAAGCCTCGGAGTGAGTTGGGCTTTCATCCGGTGTTGTGGATGCTGGCCTAGTTGCTTGCCGTCTTCGTTGCTTCTTTGCGCTGTGTTTGGCTGGGTTCTGAGTGTCGGTAGGAGGCGGCATTGATCTGTCTGGTCTTGCCCGGTCTACTGTTGGCCACAGGGAAGTTGAGTTCGAACTCGTGCTGTCCATTCGGTTGAGTTTAGTTGGCGACACGTCTGTTGGGCTCACACATGGTACCTGCACATGGTCAGGAAGTGATGTGACGAGTGTTTCTTCATTGCTTTCATCCTCTGAAGATAGATATGCTGATTCAGCATCACTCTCTTCATCAACGCTAACGCCATCAGAATCAAAGTCGTCGGACAGATTGTCACTGTCGGAGTCATATTCATCCGTCTCGGTGTTCTCAATGCACAGACCGTCATACCTTTCTGTTAGCTCATCGGGATTCAGATTGCTGTCTAAATGCTCTTCATCATCAGCACTGCTATTATCCTGGCCATCGTCTACGTCAGCACTCGCCTCTTGCAGCACTAATAGAGGTAAGCGTATTGTAACACATTCGGAAGGGCCCCGTGCAATGGGTGGTACAAATGGCTGCACACGGTTCGCGTCTCCAGCAGCACTGTGGTTATCTCCTGTGCACCTTGCAGGGCTGATGCATCCTCCATGTGAAGGAGAGTCGCAGCTTCGGAGACCACCTTCACCACCATCTGGACTTTCTTCACTTGTTGTTTGTCTCTGCAGGTCTGCTAGTGCTGTGCGACTATCGTCATCACCAGTGTTCTGTTCGGTCGCTGTGTCCCGCTCGCAGAGTGCGACGTAATTCACGGTCTTGCCATTCCCCTCTTCTTTCAGGCCTGTTGCAGTCTCCTCCAGTGCATCTCCAGCAGCTGTCGCGCCATCATGGTCACCAAACACTTGTTCTGGCCTACTAGCCAATGCTGGCACTGCGCCCAGCATTGTGCTGCCCTGGTAGCTGAGCTTCGATGGCAGCCAGTTCCAGTGTTGTATGCTGGCAGGAGGCTCTTCCACAGCTGTCTGAGTGAGACGCAAGATGCTCTCGGCCATTTTGACAAGAGATGCCCTATCCGGGTTCTCTATCAAGCTTGTCGCAATAAGCCTAGCTTGCTGGGCCCGATTTAGGTCTGCAGCAGCTTCTCCAGTTCGTTTCTGGAGATCCAGCCTATCCTGTTGGTCCTTGCCCTTCACCTGTTGCAGCAGCAGTGCCTCGTAGTCCTTCAAAGTCTTTCGAAGGCTCGTGAAGTCTTGCTGTATCAGAGAGCAGACGTCATCACAATCGCTCTCCATGCTCTTGCCGGTGCTCTGGAGAAGCAGTAGTGCTTCCTGTAGCGGCTCGATCACAGCTGTGGACAGGCTTTCGACAGCTTCTTTAATTTCTTGTGCGCGTTTCCCAGCGGCATCTTCTAGGCTCGAGTAAGTGCAAGATTTGTGGACAAGGACTGCGCATTTGAAACACATTTGCACGGAGTGGCTCTCACAGAATAGCTCGAGCCGCTCGCCAAAGTGCTTGTCACACATGGCTTCCAGTAAAGCAGGAACAGACAACTTGTCGCTTTGGTCACGTTCCCCTTCAGTACTGACAGCTTGGACAGCGGTAACACTGTGTTGGCGAAAGCGCTTGGACGTTTCATGATAGTGGACACAGTCGTCACAAAGATAGATGCGGCACTCAGAGCAGAATCCAGCAGCCACCTTGTTCCCTGCATCATCGCACTCTTTGCACACTTGCACTGCAGGCTCCCCAACGTCGACTGCCTCCGGTACGCACATCTCAGCATTGTCCAAGGTGTCGATAAGTTGAACGACCAGGCGGTGTTTGGGCAATGAGCTCAGATCCGGCAGACTATGTGTCTCCCTGCAATGCGGACAGTTCAGCACTACGGTGATGGACGTGGTGTTGGAGCGTGTTGCAAGCTTTTCTAAGCAGTGAAAACAGAATGTATGCTGACAAGGCAACATGCGTGGGTCGTTGAAACGATCGAGACAAATAGCACAAGCCAAGTGTTCCTCAACTTCCTTGGCCGCTGATGTTATTGTCTTCGATGTTGACATTGTCGCTGGCCTGCAGGGCAACAACATGGGTGAACGATATACACCATGCATTGCACATAAACAAGCACGCACATACAATAATTAGGTATTTACTGCAGTAACCACGGTGGTAAGACATTTTAACATTGCAAGGGCAGTACACCGATGATCGCACCATTGTCTTGGGAAGTTATTTGGTCCAAGTGGACGCCAGTGACATTATGACATAGTGGCTGCTAATGTCCCTGTCACTGCGGCTTTATGATCTTTTCGTCCCTGTGCTGCTTTCTAGTGTTCCCGGCACCATCAGAGATACGGCTATATCCCTGATGATGCCCTCCTACTGGGCGAAAAGTTGGACAGTTTACTGTACTCGGTGTAGCCAAGGACTGTTTGTGTGTTGCGAGTTGGGTGTACTGAAAATATGTACGACATGTTTCATGTACATGTGTTTGAGCTGAAGAGGCAACTGGTCACTACCGCTAGCGCTCTATCACTTCTACGATCTTACTACGAAAAATGGACAATGGCATCATTGCATCTGATGGCTCTGTCTTGCAAGCTTGGTAGCCACATGTAATTACCGTTGCTAGGGTAATCGTTATGGAAGTATTATAGTCATGCCGGGGATTTGGGTTGAACTTGAAATGTAGGGAATACTGCCTCACTGAGACCTTCTCTTCCCTTCCCAAGGAGGAGACACAGGAGACATGGGAGACAGAAGCAGCGTGGACTGGAGGGATTTTCAGGCAGCTAGGGTAACTTCCATTTCTACTGTTTCCTCCGTTCTTCGACATGAGAACTCTTCGTCAACAAATAGAAAAAAGCATTTCTGGATCCTCTCTTCAAGGCTCTTTATCCATCAGCTGCTGCTAAGCTCCCGGATAAGCCGCGGGGAAGGTAGCGTCGAAGCATGAAAAAGTGCAGCTTCTCTTGGAAGCAGGCTCTTCGGCTATGTCATCATCTGATTAGGAAGCTGGCATTACTTGTCGGTTCAGGCACGTGGTACTGGCTCAGCATCACTCTACCGAACTCTCCCATTCTTCTTACAAATCGAGGATATGCCGGCGCTGCGACCTTTCTTCATCTGAAAAGATACTACACGTGCACTCAATCTAGGCTCTCGGAAACAAGACAAACACACGCGACAATAAGATTGTGTTTGTCACAGCGGCGTCTTCGGGATTACCTCACTGCACTCGACTCCGACACCGATTAGACTACAATCAGGATGTAGCAATATTCTGCGAAACTTGACAAAACAATGTTGCAAGAATGCCTTCTTTACTAAGCCTTATACGGTTCTACCTCGACATCGGATCGATCGCGGACAAGACCACCAGTGCACGAGCACAGAGATGAGCGACGGAAAAGGTTCGTCGCCAGCGCCAGGGTGGTTTTTCGCGCACTTGGCGCAACGTGGGTACACCTCTGTCCATGTCGTGCTTATTGATTTTTCCTTCAACTCTCTGCTGGACTCCGTCTATGCTGTTGATAGCAGAATACCTACATTCCGGCATCCCATTCTCTACCTTGTTCCCCAGCATACTCGTCTTGCCCTTGCTAAGTCCCCCTCCCCCCCCCCCCCCCGTCCATCCCCATTCACCACACTCTTCGATGGGCTCATTGGTTTGGCGAATTCAAACGGAAGTGGACACGCAAATCAATCTCGGGCACCCGTGGACCATGAGCAGCTGGGCTGCGCTGGTGGCTGTGGTCGGCCCAATTTTACTCAGCGACGCATTCAAATACGATGACAACACCTGACCCATGTCAAGCAAAACAGCATGCTGGTTATAGAGGTTATGCAGTTGAGCTGCTCAGTTGGCGAAGTCGCCGGGCGGTGTGGCAAGTGTAGTGGCCGGCGCTATGACATGTACATGTATGTATTTCATTCGTGAAGGCAAAGTTTCACCAGGCAGTAGTAATTTATAGAAAAGAAAAAGGACCAAGGCACTACAAGTTATGCTACAATGTCCACTGACACCACCAGTTACTAAACAATCAGCTCATGCGATAACGTTGCACGACACTGACCGACAGTACTGGCGTTCTACAACTAACTGGCTAACAGCTCTAGCACATCTTGGATTGGACATCATAGCATAACTTGTAGTTCCTTGATCCTCTTTTTTCTATAAATTAATCCTTGGCTCTCCATCCGAGTCCATTCAGGCAGTAGTACCCCGCTTTACTTGGTTTTTACTTTTTAGGTCATCTACAGTGAGTGCAGCACTGCTGCTCAATGAAATCCAATCCCGTAAGTCACCTTCGCACCCTGTTCCAGTGAAAATCCCAGTGGGAGGTCTGAGGCTGTACCGCGCTCAGCACGTACTTGACTCACTCGATCGGATTTCATTGAGCAATGCTGTATGTACTTCCACATGTACTGTAGATCTGCATGTACATTTGAGGTATTGCTATTACACTTTTACAGTGAAACCTCGAGAAGAACACTGATAAGACAAACTTCCACAAGAACTATTGTTCGTAATTCTATTGGATAAATCACTGTGTATTCATTGTGCAGACAATAAGCCGGATTAGAAGAACAGTCTGAACTCCCGTTATTGTGAAATACCATTGCCATTGGTTCATTGCCGTTCGTCCTAAGGATGTTTGACTGTAAGTACTAACAGTATGTACTGTAGAACCTAGAATCTTACCGCTGCTGTCGCTTATTCGCGGACTCCTCCTCCTCAGTGACGAGCCAACGACGTGCTTTTAAGGACGAGCGTTTCACTCCGCTCCACAGCAGCAGGGCGAGAAAAGGTCGCGACGAACGCAATGAAGAACCAGAGTAGTAAGTAGCCTGCCTGCAATATTATTATTTAATTTTACCGTCTTGAAATCCTTTCACGTGATTCCGGAGAGCAGTTCAAGCTTCAGGCCACTGCGCCGCAGTTGCGGCGTTCACTAACACACACACACACACACGTACACAATCACTGACAAGCGTCTTTACTTATCGAGGGATTTCATCAAAAGACAAAACACGAACGAAAAACTTTCCATGCATGCGAAAGTCGCTCGTACATCGTACTTCGGGTAAAGGTATTTTAGGGTCCCAAATTATTTTTTTAGTGGGCCAGCATGCTCTACAGTCAGAGCCCCAGGCATGCACATTACACACACGAGACATGCATAGTACAAACAGGGCATGCGCAGTGCAAACAAGGCATGCACCAGACAGTCGAGGTCAACAAGGTCATAATAATTGGGAGCATGCAGAGCTCAACCACAACTCGTTTTCCATGATTGGCATGAAGACATCGGGTGGCACTAGCCAACAGCTTACATGTTCATACTGCTGGTGAATGGTGACCAAGAGGCTCGAGTGCATTGACCTTGTTGACCTCGAGTGCATTGCGCATGCCCTGTTTGTACTATGCCAAAAATTAAAATTTCACCAGTTGTAGTCTTCGGGGTGCTGAGTCGAATGGTCTTGGTCCGAGAAAGCGGAGACGCTCCCTTCCTACTTGAATCCCAATTGAACTCGCGCACTTCCACCGAAACTGGGTGACTGCGGCCCCTACTACATTGTAGATGGGGATTTGTATGCAAAATGTCACTAAAAGCGCCATTTCGTTCTTATAAAAGCACGGATGACCGCGATTGGCCCATATGTTGTACTCTTTTGGACGCTGAGTCGACTGGTTTTGGTCCGAAAAGGCTGCGATGCAGCGTTCCTCCTTTATTCCCAATCGAACATGGTTGAACAAGCGGTCACGTGCTCCTGCGTGCCCAAATCACCTGGTCACCACGCCAGTAGGCGACAACTTTCACACCAAGGTTCAACTTGAGTGACAGGACTGCACCCAAAAAAGGTCAAGCAGGCTAGTAAGCTGTACCCTGCAGGCACGGTGACCAGGTGACTGGCGTACGCAGGAGCACGTGACCGCTTGTTCAACCATGTTCGATTGGGAATAAAGGAGGAACGCTGCATCGCAGCCTTTTCGGACCATAACCAATCGACTCAGCGTCCAAAAGACTACAACATATGGGCCAATCGCGGTCATCCGTGCTTTTATAAGAACGAAATGGCGCTTTTAGTGACATTTTGCATACAAATCTCCATCTAGTAGGGCGCAGTCACCCAGTTTCGGTGGAAGTGCGCGAGTTCGATTGGGATTCAAGTAGGAAGGGAGCGTCTCAGCTTCCTCGGACCACGACCATTCGACTCAGCACCCCGAAGACTACAACTGGTGAAATTTTGATTTTTGCCTTAACTTCCCCTTTGATATGTGCATGCCTAGGACTCTGTAGAGCATGCTGACCCATTAAAATAATTTGGGACCCTAAACTATACTTTTACCGTACTTCGTAGGTCTACTCGTAGATCCACCTCGACTCGAGCTCTGCACTTCCAGTCGCAACTAACCACACTTCCACAAGACAAGAGATCAAGATCAGTACTGACAGTAGATCTGGTAGATGTGTCGTCTCGATCACGCATGCCTGATCACCTGATCACTGACCTGAGTGAAAGAAGAAAAAGATGGAGAGCTTTGTGCATGTGATCATGGTAATACTAATAGTTACTAGTGCCAGTACGTGCAGTAGGAATAATCAGTGTTCAGCTGGAGTAGGTCTACGAATCATTCATGCCATATCAAAGCAGGATCAGCTTCGATCGAGGTGTAGACCATGTACCATGGCATGGTAGACGTAGACCATGTAGACCATGGTAGACGTCTAGACCTAACTCCTGAGTCGAGTCCTCAGTCCTTACCACAGGCACAGATCTAGTATGAGTATGAGTCTGTAGAGTGTATCTACATTGTAGTACATGTACAACCATACATCGTCATGTACATGTTGCCATGCCACAAGGGAGAGGATAGGGGGACTCCCCTAGCTCGGGCCATGTTCCGACATAAAGTTTGATAAACTCCCTCTCGCGGTCTGTAGATTACTGACATAACAGATATAGATCGGCTGTGTGGTCGCGTACATGTACAAAGCTCTGTCCCATTCCCGATAGCTCTACATCATCAGTACAATGATGTAGAATAATCTGTAGATCTACCATGCGCGCATGATCTACACACAGGCAAGGAAGTGCACGGCGGCAGAGATCCTGCACCTAGTACTAGTAGTAGATCTACCTGGGATCGGACACCGCACCCCTTCCTTTGCCGTTCGTTTCGATGGCACAGACCACTCAAACCTGAAGAAAAAACTTGCCCGGATCACTGCCTCTAGCTCTGCGAGCTAGCAGAAAAGCAGAAAGCAAAATAATAATTCTATCTTTATCTGTTCTGAGTGTGGTGGTGACCCGCTGGTGACGGTGTTGCCGATCCAAGCCCGCAAGCGGCGTGTCTCTCTAGTCCAGTGCAGATGCAGGACTCGTAGCTTGATACGAGACCAATAATATTGAACGAATAATTATTAGTCTACACCGGCTCCAGACCAGGTACATGACGATGTCCTGTAGTTCACTCAGTGCGCTCGTCGCAGTTCTCATTGACAGTGACAGTTGAAGGAGGAGGACGGGGGAGCTGGTAGATCTACACGGTTGCAGATGCGCGGAGATTCGCAGCGTTCCCTTTCCTAGTAAGTCAGAAAGGTAATAATAATAATTCGCGCCGGGATCCGCGTTAGCATCACTTGATTAACTTGAATGCTCAGAAACACACAAGCTATAATTATCCTTCGCTTCCGCAGGCCACCACTAGCACTAATGTCTATGCCTTTACACCTTAGTGGCGAATGCAGAAAGGTATTACAAGTCAATAACTTACTTCTGCCATTGCAGCCCCACTGCACTGCAGCATGCACGCAGATCACACTTTGTGAATCATTCACGGCTAGTCTTGGTCATGCTGTGTGATGAGTGTTTCACACGAAACTCTGAGTGACGGCGGAAAAGAACTTGGTTGAGACATTGCTGTGTGATCATTGCAGATCACACTTGAGTTAGCTGGCAAGGGCTAGCGGCTGTCTTACCTTCACTCTTCTCTGTAGATATTTCCGTTGCCAATCAGCAAACTAGTTTTTGCTGTCTAATGTAATGTCTGTAATGATCGTCCAGTTTACCTTTGGCGTGAAACTGAGAGTAATGGATTATGTGTGGGTTTCACACATATGGGTAAAACCACAATTTTGGAAAAGCCTGCCTGCCCTCAACTATAAACGCCGCTGTCCTTTCCTTCTTCATCACCAGTCACAATTTTATCCCAACTTTCTGCAGTCTGATTTTACTTGTCAATCAGCCAAACCCGTTGCACTTGGTGTGGTGTATACTGTACATGTATGCCTACGGCTCATTGGTGATCCCGATGCCGCCGACAAGCAACTTGTAACAGAGAGCACGTTTGAAGGTCCCTTGAGCGGTTGTCTTAGACAGGTTTTACTGTGGTACAAAATGTACCGCAAAAATGCGGCAGTACAGCTCGCCGCCACAAAAAAATACAATAATAGAAACAATAAAGCCACTGAGATAAGGGAAACTGACCAGGCGTGTAAACGGCAATTGGCGGTTGCCCAGCGGTCTGACCTCTCTGTTCCGCAAGCGCAGGTTAACACACGAGCATAGCCCCCCTCTCCCCCCCCCCCTACAAGAACTACAGTACAGTGGAACCAGTCTAAGACGACCGCTAATGAGACCTTCAAAACGTGGTCTCTGTTACCAGGTGGTCTCCTTATCCAGGGTCATTTTACTGGTAATAGCACCCCTTGGTCCTGGTTTCAGTGGTCTTCTAGGACAGGTGGTCACCTTGACAGGTTTTGCTGTAGTGGAAACTGAAATCCGACCCCTGATTTCCATGCTCAAGTGGAGCACTGATTCCAGCAGTCTCTATTTCATAGTGTAACTAGGTCTTGCAATGTGCGCGCACCGCTCCAGCGGTTGGAGTCCAGTGGCCAGCACTATGATACTGTAACTCACTGGTTTGATGTTGTCCAAAATGTTCGTACTAGAAGAAAGATGCAGTGCATGACTGTACTATTGTAACGTTAGCGTAACGTTACCCGAGAGTGAGTATCTCGGATTTGCCGACCGTCCGTAGGTCTAGCAGGGTGCATGCCGCGGAGTGTCAATGCACATGGAAAGCACATCATTGTGCTGGCCAAAGGCAGATCCTTCAATAGTGATTGGCTGAATCAAAAGCAGACGTCACGTCGCAAAGGCGTGTGTGCAGCAAATGGCGTAGGGTGGAGTGCTAGTTCTGCTGCAACTCTGGCTGAATTGTCATGTCCCCGGGGCTGGTACGCAAAGACCCAGTCGGCCTACGACCTTGGGACTGATCACGTGTGCCCTGGATGCCTAGTGGAGTGGTGTGCAGTAAGGGAAAGACCCAAAGACCCAGTCGGCCTACAACCTTGGGACTGATCACGTGTGCCCTGGATGCCTAGTGGAGTGGTGTGCAGTAAGGGAAAGACCCAAAGACCCAGTCGGCCTACGACCTTGGGACTGATCACGTGTGCCCTGGATGCCTAGTGGAGTGGTGTGCAGTAAGGGAAAGACCCAAAGACCCAGTCGGCCTACGACCTTGGGACTGATCACGTGTGCCCTGGATGCCTAGTGGAGTGGTGTGCAGTAAGGGAGTAGTTCTACTCGTCGTTTCTTTCTATTCCTGCTGATAGTGGCCCAGGTCACAGTGGTGAGACAATGCCTGAGATGGGTGAATTCTGTGATTCTTTTCGTATGCCCATGCAGAGAGAGGAAATCCTGTATTGATTCCGGCATTCGAGCTGACAGACCTTGAGCCATGGCTGCCAAGTGCACCGCAGATGAAGTCGAAGAGCACTTGCAGTGCGCGATCTGTTTGGACACGCTGAGTGACCCGCGCATGTTAGCGTGCCAGCATACCTTCTGCTTTGCCTGCTTGGAGAAGCTTCCGAAGGCAAGGGGAGGTGGTGAGGATGCCGGGTTCAAGCTGTCCTGCCCAAGTTGCCGCGAGTCTCACGCCTTTCAGGACGTGAAGGCGCTGGCCAAAAATCGTCTCGTCGTTCAACTGCTGGAAACATTGCAGTCACAGTCAGTGCAGAGCATCCCTGTGCATATGTGCGAGGAGTGTGACGAGGACAAGCGAGCTGATGGCTTCTGCCAGGAATGCCAGATGTACCTGTGTACCTTTTGCATCAGCTACCATCAGAAATCGAAACGATTCAAGCAGCACGCTATTCTGGCATTGGCTGCCCTAGGAAGTATGCAGAACAAGTCCGACTGGTCCTCCCTGCTCAAACGCGAGCCCGTGTGTGAGCGACATCACGGGGAAAAGATGGAGGTGTTCTGCAAGCAGTGCCGGAGAGCAGCGTGCATCAAGTGCACTGTCATAGAACACAGGCGGTGCGAATGCATCAGCCTGGAAGAGGCGTGTGCCAAGGCGACAGAAGGCATTGAGAAAAATATCCAAGCTTTGTCGGCCGCGGCCATCCGGCCATTGAAGGATGCTATTGACAAAAACCTGGCTGAGGAAGAGCAGTCCACCATTGATGCGCAGCGCGCCGAGACAATGCTTAAGGAGGACTTTAAACAGCTGCGACTCTTCTTGAATCGCTACGAGGATAATCTGCTCGGGCAAGTTGCCGGAAAGCGCCAACATGACAAGGAAGCACTGCAGAAGAACGTGGCTCGACTGCGGGCTGATCTACACCGGGCTCAGCAGGTTGAAAGCGGTGCCATGGATCTGATAGAGAATTTCTGTCGCACAACTATACTTGACCGTACTGCTGCCACCATCCAAGACCTACAGGAAACGTCTGTTGGCACGAAGGTCTCAGTGGCTCTAGGTGATTGGACTGCTCAGCATCTCCGTTATGAACGGAGCTCTGTTCCGGGGGATTTACCCTGCTGTCAGGTGTATTCAAGGCCAGATCTGCAGTATGCAGAAGTCACCAGAAAGAGAGATGCTCCAGCTGAAGCAATCAAGCAGCACCCTCTCCTGCTACCCGTGCTGACCGAGCACAGGAAGCCCACCAGGACTGGTCGTGTCGATGTGCCGCCTGATCACGAGTATACCTTGTCGGATGAAGATTTCCACTCAGCTCAGCAGAAAGGTTTCAGTGCAGAGCACGAGGCAGTAGAGGCGGATTGTGGCGATACCCCTGGAGCTAGGGACATTTTTGCTGATCCTGCTGAGAGCGACATTGGCGCGGGTGCATTTCACGATGGGGCATATCTTGCCGGGGCACAGGAACATGCATCTGACGGCACTGATTTCTCCGTGCTCGACGTACCCAAGCAGAAAAGGAAGAAGAAAAAGAAGTCGAAGAAGACGCCGTAGGCGGACACACTCCGAAGGCGTTCACCCGTTGCACTACAGATTGTGTTATTGAGCCGAGCACAGTCTATTGTACAACCTTCAGAGTGGGTTGCTGTGTTTAGCTTTTAACTACGTACTAGTTTTCGATCAAGTAGTATGAGTATTTCAGGTTACTTGTTTTCAATCACTGCATCGTCACTGTGTGGATAACCGGTGTCGCATGTGGTGATACATATGGCTACAGGTACACAAGAACATTGTCAAGTTTGGGTTGCAGATAGGACCAAGATCGCCAGATTTATTATGGTGTATTTCTGGCAGGGCATAATACTAGTTGTTCAAGTCCTCCACTGATCAGACAATATTGATTGTTATAAATATACACATGTAGGACACGCAACTCTGAGAGAACACAGAGAACATCTTCGTGTCTGTTGTTTTTGTACTGTACCTATTGACCTGTACTGTGCTTGCTAGGATATTCTAAGCTAGGACAACTTTGTGTTGCTCCCTACATGGGAGCTCGCGGTTTTCCTGCCGACTTGAATTCTCACTTGACTGACTCACGACTGACATCCAGATCACACGATTCAAGTCGGCAGGAAAACCGCAAGCTCCCATGTAGGGAGCAACACACTTTTCCTCTGCTATCGCCGAAGTCGCACCAACCTCTTCTTCACATAGGATAACTTTGCTAGGATATAGTCGTGATTATAATGGCGTTACCAAGTCCAAGGCAGGGCCGCCGGAACCGGTCCAGTTGGTCCGGTTGTGTGGTCCGGTTGTTACCGGACCAACTCTGGCTTAGGTCACCCCTGGGCCCTGTCGGGGCCTGAGATTTGTCTAAAACCGAGGAGAACAAATTCAGGGTACATGTACATGACTGTATTATCGATCATGCATACAATAGTCATTATGCACATGCACCCATAGTAGGCCATACATTGTACATTGATGTTCATGCAAAATTATTCCCTATACTAGAATGTAGCGGGCTCTGAATGCATGAAAACTTGTGAAAGGGTCAAATAATTCTGCTATTGCTGACCAAATTCTTCAAAAAAAAGCCCGGGGGACATCCCCCGGACCCCTCAAACCGGACCAACTTACTTCGCCCGCCTTCCGGCGGGCCTGCAAGGACGTACTGTCATACATGTAGAACCACGACTCCCTGTGTAGAACCTTTCGTTGCACTAGTAATGCGAGAAGTATTTGTTACACTTCTTCAGTGCAGCCTGCGGGCATGTTACATGACTGTAGTTTCGGAAACTTACTTTGCCGGGAAAGTACCTGCACAGGCTGTACTGACGGAACTAACTACTTCTTCAGCTTTCGCACAAGATGGCTTGGATCATATACGCACTGACGCCAGTGACGGGCTCAGTGTTTACCACACAATATCCATGCATGCAGATGATCAGTATGTAGATCTACTGTCTGACACTCAGTAGATCTACTCGGAATGCCGCGGCTATGAAAATGCGTATTGAAGAAATCGTCATTTTTACATTTATTCTAATCTGCCTACTAGTAGTAGTACTAGTAGTAGTAGTACTAGTAGTAGCACCACGGTCTACCAGATCTACAAGCAGTAGATCTATGCAGTACGCTATGTATGGGCTATGCTCGAGCGCTCGGTTGCCGGGTTGGGTTGGCTGCAGTTAGATTTGTGCCCCGCGGCCCCGGCTTGGTACAACACGATCTGTGGCCTCGCAATTACCACGATTACTGCATTAGTCTTCTAGTGTCTACCCCGCAACAGCAACTCCAGAGCAGACCACCCTGCACAAGACAGTCGTCGAGATCGACGCGTGGGCGCCTTCTCAAGTCAACCCGATCCGCGGTCTCAATGAAAAGACTGCGTGCGTCCGGGACTGAAACGTCCTGAAATTGTTTGTAAAAATCCACTGCGACGACGAGGATCTGATTTGCTGCTGTATAGTTGGCCTAACGCCGACTGCTACTTGTTAGTTGCCCATACTGCACAGGCGAGCGCTCATTCACAGTTCGCAGTACAGCTGCTGTTGGTGGTCAGTACAACTGGAGTCATCGCGGCTGGTTGGGGACGGGTAAGGACTAAAGAATGAATACTGATTTCGTAGATCTACATGCACACACACACGCACGCGCACACACACACATACATACATACACACACACACACACACACACACACACACACCATGTACCGTATACGCCCGTGGCAAGAGAAGCACGCAAATCTGCAAATGCACTGGATGTGCACCCCCCCCCACACACACACACCTTTGACGCCCATAGCCAGAGACGATGAAAGCGGTGGTACAGCAGAAGTCATAGCAACTCGTTCTGAGATTACACCATTCAACAGCTTGCAAGGCTGAAGAATTGACCGCCACTATTCAGCCTGTTCTATACCACACAGCTATGAAGTGGCTTTTCTGGCCAGTGAATCTCTGCTTTTCGGTCTTCTTTCGTTTTTCCCCACACACACATCACACCACATGCTCCGGCATGCACTGGCTGTTGGTAACCACACAGGAGAATGAAAGAAAAATCAGGAGGAGAAAGAGAAGAAAGACACACACACACACACACACACACACACATACACACACACACACACACACACACACACACACACACATACACACACAAACACACACACACACATACACACACATACACACACATTTGTACTTGTACTTGCTGACTGCCAAAACTGGTCACGTGGGTCTACCCGGGAGAGGGAAGAGAGACTCCAAAGGAATCTTGGAAAGATGACTCATTTGGCTATTGAACCGCCCAAAGGCCAACACCCCCTGAAATCCCCAAACTGTGGGTGGACTTCGAAAATTGTCCCACTTATGCCAAGTTATGGACTCACCACACCACAGTAAGTGGGTAAGACGAGGTGCAAAAAGAGGATTGAAGGCATCAGGGTATCCGCCCCAGGATCAAACGGCATTTACCCAGTGAACGTAATACTTGAAGGCGCAGGCAACATCAGTGTACGTGTTCAATGGGTATGGCGCCCAACGCAGGCCACGTGGTGTGGCTGTGTGCGACGGGCTGGCAGGACAGTGATTGCCTCAGGGGCCTCTGGGTCTGCCCCTTTGGCCAGTTCGCTTCTTTGTTTCGTTCCCCGTCTCGTCACCATGGGACAAGTACGGTCAGGCGCAGTATCTTTGTTTTGTGGCACATGCAATAACTTACTTTTCTGTTGTTAGACTGACTGCTGTTTCTTGCGCCCCTTTTTCACACGTGCTACATGTTCCTGTCCCAGCCATGAGCGCGTGCCGTTATCACCTGACCTTGTTATCACTTTTGTCACTTAGGGTATGCCACGTTTCTATGCAGAATGAGCGCAATTACGCCAATTTAGCCCTATAAAGATCAGTCTATTCTTATTATTCTTTCATTCAACATCATATGCTCCACTGATGAGCTCAGGAGGAGCGAAACAGCTGTCTGGAGGGTCATTGTCAATATCAATCTATATACCGGAATTGTCCTCGCTGTGGTGATGGTGATGTGAGTGCAGAGTTTGGACCGGCCAAGAGCGCAATGTGGTGGTGTGGTGTATTGGGTCAAGTCACTTGTAAATCTACAGGATACTCAGACTGTTTTCCGGAAGCCACACGTCAGGCTGCAAATTCTTTTGACGATCCAGTTTGTCTTTCACTCAGCACTGAACATACATAGCTTTGTGCTCGTGCAATGATGAATTGAGAAGTACATGAAAAGCAGTCGAATGCATTGAAGTGACATGCATTTATACTTCGTATACATGTACCTGGAGTATTTGCAACACCGGTCGAGTCACATTCAGCATTCTGAATAATTATATTAAAAAGGTGAATGGGGGCATTTTGAGGTTTTTCCAAACATGTCTGAAAGTGCAGCTAACACTAAGGAAATGCAGTATGTCCTACTGTAAAAGAAGAAATTTTCGGTGGTGTTTTATTTTCGGTAACTTCAGTACCGACAACTTTTACCGAAAATAAAAGGCACCGAAAATTCCGATACTACCGGTACTGTATACATTTAGTACTAGTACACTTACCTGGAAAACGGGTTTTACCAAAAATGTCCCTCCACCGAACCGCCGGTTTTGGAGAATACCAAAAATATTACACCACCGAAAATAGAAACAGACCAGAGAACGTAGCAGACTGCTCAAGTTCTGTAGCACCAAGTGCTCTAATACCCTGGATACTTTACGTGTTGTCATTTTGTGCTCCTGATCTAACAGATTACGCAAAGCAATGACGAGCAAGAACACTGCAGAGGAAATCGAGGAGCTCCTGCAATGCGCCATTTGCCTGGACACTCTGTGTGACCCACGCATGTTGGGCTGCCAGCACACATTCTGCCTCAAGTGCTTGGGCATGCTCCCGTCGCATCGTGAAGCAGACGACTCCACTGTGATATCGTGTCCCAGCTGTCGTGAAGAACACACTGTAGCAGCAGTGAACTCACTTGCAAAGAATCACCTTGTCCTGCAGCTCCTGGACACCCTGGCGTCCTCCACGGCAAAGTCACCCAGGGTACGCAGCTGTGAGGAATGTGTGGACAACGAGGACCGGCCAGCGCAGGGTTTCTGCGAGGAGTGTCGTCTGTGCATGTGCAAGCAGTGCGTGGAACACCACAAGACATCGCGACGATTTGCCCAGCACAGCATTATTGCCATCGACACAGCGCAGCCGGACGGTGAGCCGGAAGGCGGCACCACGGAGAAAAGCCTTCAGAAGAGAGAGCCGATATGCGAGCGACCATCTCACTATGGCGAACGAATGGAGGTGTTCTGCAAGACCCATCAGAAGGCATGTTGCTTGAAATGTGCAGTGCTAGATCATAATAAATGCGACTACACCAGACTTGAGGAGGCATGCGATAAGCAATCTGCTGAAATCCAGCGCAAAGTAGAGGCACTCAGCAGTGGTGCCATTGATCCACTCACCGAGGCATTGGCTGAGAATGAGGAGCACCAGCAGGAGTGCGAGGAGCGGATCAACACTCTGACTGCATGCATCAAAACGGATTTCGACCAGTTGCACAAGCTGCTGGACGAGGAACAGGAGCGTCTTCTGCAAGAGGTACAGCGCAAGCAGGCTAGTGACGCAGAGGTACTGCAGCGCAATGCTGGCACGATGAAAGCGGACCTGCAGCGTGCACAGCAAGGCCGAAAAGCGGCAGAGGACCTGCTGACGAATTACAGCCAGACCCACGTGTTGTCGCAGGCGGCTGACACCATAGCTGAGCTAAGCTCTGCTGAGGAGAACGGAGCGTCTCGCGTATGTCTGGGTATTTGTGTTCTGCGTGTATTTGAATATACCGCCAGTAACTGGGAACCTTCTCCATCTGGCGCCATGGTTACATCTGCTGGAGAGCACGGACAGTCAAGGGGGAAGGTGCCATCAACACTGAAACTTCCTTTCCTTGAGTTGACCGATACTCGGGTTGATCAAGCTCCTGTTGCTGTTGCAGATGCTGAGGAGATGCTGGACAGCCATGATGAACTTCAACAGGAAGAGATTCGAAATCTTCCGGCGCTGTCCCTGTCCGAGGAGGAGTTTCTGGACCGTGAACTGCCTGCCGATGAAACTCTGCCACCCACATCATCGATTAGCTCCAAGTCGTCCTTGAATGTATCACCTGCGGCCAGAGACTCTGAAGGAAGAGTTCTGGGTATGCCCGTGTACCAGGTATACCAGCCAGCGCCTGTTGGCCTTTGCAGTTCAGCTGAAGAAAGGGTGGACATCGATGGTGACTGTGACGTTTTGGAAAAGACTTTGGTTCAAGCAGATTGTCACCCAAGCAGCGCATTTGGCATAGATGAAGAACCTGATTCGATATCGCTACTACGATCCACTTCACTCATGTGCAGAGATTCAAGGTCATTTAAGCCACGAATCGACGCCACACCATTTCAACCAAGACAGCAACAGACTGGTCTGGCTGACGTCACAGCCACACATGCACAGACTGCCAGTGCACCACAATACACCAGTCGCATGCACAATCCTGTGGACTCAACCGGCATGACACTTCAGTATGGTCGCAGAGTATCACTGGGGTCACTGTTTCGCGATGAAGAAGTGCCAGAGCTCGCTCGTGGTCCTAACCTTCAATCCCAACAAAGACATGGACATAAAGAAGATTCACCGGAAGAAGAATTCACGGTTCAAATGGAACCCCAAGTTGAGACCAACCCTTCAAAGCAAGCCAGGCACTATCCAAGTCTCAGAGAATTTTCGGGGTCACTATTTCGCGATGCAGAAACGCCAGATCACCCTCGTGGTTCTACACTCCAACCTCAACAAAGACATGAAGTAGATTCACCGGAAGAAGAATTCTGCAATGCGGTGCCAGTTGAACCCCGAGCGGAGACCAATTCTTCAAAGCAAGCCAGGCGCTATCCAAGTAGTCGTATTGCCGACGTCTCAGAATGGCCACCCGGCATGCAATCTACTGAACCTCAGCTCCGTGCAAGTACTCCGAGGAGGAGGGGCCGAGGAGGAGGGGCCAGAAGAAGAAAAGGCCGGTTGTATGAAGTAGATTCACCGGAAGAATAATTCGCAGACTTGGAGCTAGCGCAAACGCTAGCGCAAACGCTAGCGCAAACGCTAGCGCAACCCGAGTGCTGACCAACCCTTCCAAACTAGCCAGGCACTACCCAAGTCGTGGTCTCAATGCTAAGGTCTGAACAGGGTCGCCCGTGCAATCCATAGAGCCTCAGTACCGTGCAAATACTCGTAGAGGAAGATGGGTCTGAGGGCTAAAGGACCATTTCAGCAGCTTTCACTTTTGCAAGTTCAAAGACGAATACTAGATATGAAGGTTTGACCCAAACTGCTACCCACCTGCTTTTTAAGTCGTCTTTGTCCAAAGTGGGACAGCTGGACAGCTGGGCACTGGCAAGTGTAATCTGTAGCCACACTACTGTTATTATACTGCCATGATGCAGTGCAGAGTTTTCTTTTATTGTCCGCAAACTCCAACGCAGCCACTTACACACTTATTGTTATTATTACTATCAAGAGTGTGCAACTCCAGCTATGGGGTCTGCGACGGCAGAACTTCACATCACGTGATGAACCCGTGCACTCTAGTGCATGATAGATACTGGGTTGTACGCAGCCCAGCTTTGGGTACAACTCTCTTGTGGTCACTTTGCACTGTTTGCCAGCATAACCTTTTGAACCATGTCACGTGATGTGAAGTTCTGCCGTCGCAGCACAGCATAGAGGTTGTGCAGGCAGTTGCACACTCTTGGTTATGTACTCTTGTTAATATTATGAAATGCCCCAAACTGGCAATATGCCTATCGAGGGGTTCATTTGATTGAAAGAACATTATTACATGTACTACTAGTATGGACAAAGACAAGTAGGGATTGATGAGGAGAGGAACGAGGAAAATCAGCTGCAAGGAGGCGGAATTCCGTTTATTATGAAACTTCACTCCTCAACTCCAAAATTAACTCCGAATTGTTGGGCCTGGCCCATCATCAGAGTAATAAAATTATTGACAAAATATTCATTTAATAGGTACTTATTGACTTACATGTAGGAAGACAACATTTTTTCTGAGTGACACTCAGAAAGTTGACAGTCATACTGATGTCGTGATGCCGTGATGCAGTGTACTCGTAGCTTGTGCATGTACAGTCCAGTCATGGGCAGAGAAATCCGACCTGAAGAATACAATAGCACGGGGGGGGGGGGGGGCGCAGCCTTAGCACCACTCATACCGCTTTGCTCACTCGAGCGCGTTGCTACTTTTTTTTTTTTTTTTTTTTTTTCTAGAGGTCGGATTTCTCTGTCCAGAACTGTACAATGTAGCTGCTCAAATGTCTGTGATGCGTTGCAATTGATTATTCTCTCTCCCGTCGTACCGGCTACAGTGCATTATTAGTACGCTTCTCTTCTCGCTCCACATATACTGGCATACACAGAGACATAGACAGCAATAGCGACAACACACAAAGTGAAGGGTAGTTGGCCGCAGCCAGATGTGAACCGGATAACTAGTGAGGTATGGAAGAAAGGACTGAGAACAGAGTGTCTCAAATAGAATAGGCGTGCCAGTGGATAGCATAAATAGGCCATGATGCAGAACCACTTGGGACCGTCAGATTAATTTTCCTGGACCGAGCCAGCCGGGAAAAACCCTCGCGCCGACGGACCCATTTGTGAGGGAAAAAACCGGGTGTATATCCACAATGGTGATTAGGCATCATGTAGGCATGGCAAGCACATCACGGCAAACAGTGATAAAAAGAAATGATAATATGCACAGAAATGAAGGGTGGGAGGGCAGGGCACGGCTGTTAGCTGCACTTGGATCGCGGCAACTTAGTTTTCTGCACGTGAACCATGAAAAATCAATGCATGCTCATGCATGTTCATGCATAACCAGTCAGCTGGCCTGCTCGCCCACGCATTTGACAGGTAACAATTCCATCAAATTTGAGATATCGCTTCGTTCTAAGTCTCAAAACAGTTCTAAAGTCACCAAACCACGCTGGTAATCGATGGCTATTCAATGTTAACATCTTCAGGAAGACTTCAGCCGTTTCCCGAGAGTTTGGGCATCGTTGCCGTTGTTTTTCACGGTGTTCTTCTTCCTCCTGTCTGGAGCTGCAATTGCATCCTGGAATTATTTGAAAGGTATTCCGTGCGGGCTATGGGGGGTTCCAACAGGCATAAACTGACATCGCTATAGGATAACTGGTAACTTTCACCCTTCAAGGAGGTAGAGCAATGAGAATTTTTTTGTGGCGGTCGTCCAATTTTTGTGGCGGTCGTGGCTGTATTTGTGCACTTCCAAGGCTTTCATTCTGCTTGATACTACTCTCTACTGTATGGGAATCGTTGTTTAGGCACATGTAGCTGTCTTATTTGGTAGATCTGCTGTTTTCAATCACTTGGGACAATTTGTCTAGCCTATTTGTCTTTCGTTCGTGCCATCTATCAGTTTTGTGGGGTGCCTTGACCTGTATTTGTGAAGTTCTCGAGTAAAGACCCTAATTCTTGACTGGAGTCACGTCTTGAATTGAATTTGCTGGGCGAGCCCTCGTTCACGCAGTTGTCCTTATCGTAATAGTCAATATCTGCTTGCTGGACGGACTAGCGGCTAGAACAGGGATGACCAAATGGTCCAAGTGTGTACTAGTACACGATTATTGTTTCCATCATCGTGAAATGAGCGTTGTGGAATTGCAGTCGTCTGCCTTTGGCACTGAGGACATGAGGAGAGTTGATTGTTACTTCTGCTCAGCAATGAAGCGATCATCAGCTCTCTTTGTTCTAATTATTGAGAGGACATACCGGCATCGTAATCAAGTAAAGATTAGGCAAACCTCGCCTACCTCCAAAGAGAGTCGAAGATATTTTCTCCAAATGCAAAGACGATCTTTGTGAGTTTGTGACTTGCATTTGCGTGCATACATGAGCAGGTCACGGACCATGGCACGTGCGCGGTTACCATGCCATCTCGAACCGACGCCATCTTTCTAAGTTGCCGCTTCTTGACAGCCGTGAGGGACACTGGTGAGACTCAAAAACTGACTGAAGAAGTCAGGAAAAGAAGCGACAACAAAGAACACACCAGATGCCATATTTGCAACTGAAAATATTTCGCGAGAAATCATTTCTCGCCTATCTCGCTGCGCTCGGCTGGCGAGAAATACAACATCTTATAACCCTAACGTTTTTCCTCGCTGCAGCACATCAGTAGGTGGCGCAGATGTAACACTATGCATGTGCAACGCTGTCATTGCCATTGATCATTCTCTCTCTCAAATCATATGCTGTCCAGTGCATTATGATTCGCTGGCTGGCATCATGTGCACGTATTCCCTCACTGAAGCACATCCAAGTAAATACCATCTTCCTCCTCTTGACATTTTTGATTTTTGGATACACAATGTGTACACTAGATTTATGAAGTGCGATACTATAGTTGTAGAGAGGTTCCGGAGTACGGTTTTCGTGCCAAAATCCGTAGAGGCGCTACGGATTTTTGATACGTCGTTTTCGAGCTGTGAAATGTTCCGGAGTACGGAACTTATGTGTTTGCCGTCATTGCCTAGGTTACGACCGCAAACACATCACATTCCTGTGCTATGCCTTTTTATTTTGAAAATTTGTATCAAAGCTTCCCGCGGAAAATAGATGTTTCTCGTACCAAATGTGCACACGAAAAATCTTTCCGCACCCGATGACGCAAAATCTCCATACAAAACATGGTTCGTATGAAAGCCAGTCCACACGGATTCTCCGTGCCGAAAAATCGTATGGAGCACGCCTCGAAAAAATCCGTAGCGCCCATACGGATTTTGGTACGGAAAATCGTACCCCGGAACCTCTCTATTGATAGCACCTCTACTTGTTTTGTCACCCCTTCCGCCCATATGCTGTTTACTTCCTCCACCGGCAACACCGTATACTAACTGAATGGTAGTATATTTTCCCGTTTGCATCTTACCCTCAAACCAGTGAATATTGCCCATTCTAATTTTGTGTGTACAGGTGTAGACAAAAACGCAACTACAATAATGCATAAAGCTATGTTGCTAAATGAGGAATTCAGTGTTGCTCCCTACCTGGGAGCTCGCGCTTTTCCTGTCGACTTGAATTCTCACTTGACTTGACTCACGAGTCTGCCATCCAGAGCACATGAGAAGTCCATCAAACCTTCCACTCGGCAAACCTGCAAGAAAGCACAACTCCCTGCTACATACACACTGTGACAGTGTTTCGGGGAATTCACTCCTCATCAGTTGAGCTTGAGTTACATCTTACCGTTTCGTTCTCCCGCTAAAAAGAGCTTTCTATCGTCGAAACGGTACCAAACCGACGGTATTTTGGGTTTGGGGTATGAGTACCGTTGGATCTAGCGCGTGAACTGACTGTAAAATGCCATGTCTACACACACAAAAAACGGTGCAGGCCGAGCGCCGAAAATAGCGTGAACGGTAAAATGCTGACCATGTCTACTATACTATAGTATAGTGCTCTCCACGATCCAGACTAAACCATCACCAAGGATACAAACTTACGGAGACGCTCCGTTTCCAGCACGACAAACACCTCGTGACACCAGATACTGAGATAGCAGCGTGTCACTCTGTGAGTGTGACTCATGGATAGCCCTTTCCCAAAGGTGCTCTTTTAATTCGCACTTAGTGCTTTTCGCGTCCCTCAAAATATGCTGAAAAAGTGCTCTTTTTTCAGTGAAAACAGACAAAAAGTGCTCTTTTTTCAGTGAAGCATAGCCATGAAAGGCCCATGATCAGGCCTGGGCGGATAATGCTAGTTATTTTGCGGGATAATGCTAATGGCAATGCCAGAAAAACTGTATCATAATGCTACTTATAATGCTGCTGTTCCTCTGTAATGCCAGCAATTCACCAGTAGTAAGTATGGGAAAATGGCTTGGTTTGGGCAGTAGTGTGCACGTTTCGTAGTTCTACGTAGACGGCATGGAAAATGCTAGAAAATCATGATCATAATGCTAATTTTATGCTGCTATTGCTCCATACAATCCGGGCCCTTGCAGCTAGCTGGCCAGCGAGGAAAGTCTCGAGTGGAGGCCTCTCGATCTGCTCGCTCATTCACCTGGCATTCAGTAGCACTTCATCGCCAAGGACTTCAATTCAAAACAGTTCTCACACTGCGCTTCAAGCCTTTTTCCTCGTGAACTTGCTGCAAACGTAACTGTTATGAGCTCTGCTGCGCGTGTTCCCTTTGTGTGAGGCCCAGAAACAGCTAGTATCGCCGTACTTCGATTGGCTGGATCGATGTCGTCCAGGATCTCCTCGCTATCGCCATCACGACTCTAACTGGAGACGATTTCTTCACCACTTTCCGCAAGCAGCAGCTAGCGCAGAAATTTCGCCATCCCTGAGTGTAGGAGATGGAATCCGTTCGATCAGCTCAAAAACTCTTCGTTGTGACTAGAAGAGGAGTAGCAGGGAATATTCTACCGGAAGCCCTTTGACTTCCCTGACTGCTGAAACCCTTCAGTTCCTGCCATGACTGCTACTTCTTCAAACAAGCACAAGCGAGATTCTCTTTGGTTCCACTTCACTGCACTCGAGCGTCCACGCGACACAACCTTTTTACAAAAGATCATTTTTCTCAAAAAAAAATGCTTTTCAACCTAGCCTGGTTTTCGCAGAAGTAAGGGTCATTTGAGTATAAATAATGCCACTTTTGTGGAAATGTAGTGTTATAATGCTAGCATAATGCCCGTTGCAAATCGCACACTATAATGCTACTTATAATGCTAGCATTATCCGCCCAGGCCTACCCATGATACCTGTTCAGATATGAACCCAAGGCCAAGCTGAGAAATGAATGCGCACTCTTCGAAAGGCAAAACAGGAAGTAAAGCTTTTTACAGCATTGTGTACACCGGGTACAAGCTTCACCAACTTGTTGCCCCCTCCCCCCAAAAAAGCGGCGTGCCAAGGCCCATCGAGCACTCGGAAACTGTGATCGCATGCATGAGCAAACAGATTTTAGCACTTTT